TGAGAGTGAGCAGAAGAGCGTATGCCGGACATGGAGGGGGTGAACTCCATGGTTTCTATAAATAATCACCCTAATGGCTTGGCCAGCTGCCCTCAGGGAGGGGCGGCCCCTATGCTACAGACAGCTCAGCCAGAGGGTGGTTCTGACTCTGCTCACTGCTTGAGCTGAGTACTGCCTCAGTTTCCCTACCCTGGGACTCTTGAAAATGGGCACATTTCAAGATCTTGGGTACCCAGACATCTCCTGCCCCAGAAAAAGCTGGGAGCAAACTCCAGAGGCAAGGATGTGACCCTGCAGAGATCCAGTCCCCTGGCAGGCACTACCTGCCAGGTGACAGCTTGGCCCTGCCATCCCCCACACCTTGCCTACGCTCTTCTCTCACTGTTGTGATCAGTGCTCAGGGGTCTCTGGTCCTCATCTGCTCCCTAGAGCTCCCCAGCCTGGCTAGGGTGAGCTTGGGAAACTATGTCCTGCCCTTCCTGAGAGATGACCCTGGCCACCCCCACACCCACCCCCGCCACATGCACACACACAGGGACCTTGGGCCTGGACTGCCTTGCTGATCCCACACTGCTGGGACACTGTCAACTGTAACTTCTGCTGGGAGGCTCATGTGGTGGCCTTGCAGGTGTGCACAGACTTTGATCTCAGTACTTAGGGGCCATCTAGGGCTCAGGAAGTACCTCTCTGGTGGTTGTCACGGAAGGCCTCACCAATGGTGTGTTGCCCACATACAAAGGGGCATTCATGTGAGCCAAGTCTGGACACTGAACCAGGATGGCCCCAGGGGCCTAGACACCATTTGAACTTCCTCTTAGTACAATTGTCAGTTTCACAGCTTGGGGCAGAGTGAAGGTGGGGGACACAGGGCCAAGTCCCACTCCTTATCCAGCCTGAGTCCCAACCCTTACCAGAGCACTGCCTCAGCTGCAGAGCAGAGTTTCTCTTGGCGTGACATCGATGCCTTAGAAGACACTCATCCGTGTCTGAAATTGACCCTTCTGTTGTCACAGGTGCTCCTGGCATCTGTGATTGGAGACTGGGGTGTTGCTGACCATCCTGCAGTGCAGAGGTTTAGAAATCGTCTTGCAGTGGTGGAGGTACTGGGAAGATGTGCCCCGATACCCCAGCTGGGCCTGGGCCCGCAGGCTATCCTCCTGACTGGTGACCCTATCTGGTCACCCACAAAGGGGAAGTTCTGGTTCTTCTGCAGCTGGGAGCAGGGACAAGGCCAGGAAGGGACCTGGTAGGGTGGTACAGGGCCTGGCTCTGGGGCTGAGTTAAGAGCTGATGATACTTCATCTGGGAGGAGGCTTCAAGAAACCAGCTGCACAGGTGGCCTGGGGTGCCCAAGCAGAGGGTGGTGGGGCTGGGGCTGGTGCTGGCTCTGGTAGAGGTACCTGGGACCTTCTCTATCTGTGCCTCAGTTTCCTCCTCTGTTAAGGGACTTAATAGTGATGCCAGCCTCCTGCCAGAGTCATTGCGAGAGGGAGAGATGGAGGGGTAGCAGCACAGGATGTGAGCAGGACCTAAGCACATGTGGCATGTGCAAGATGGGGAAACACAGGGAGAGAGGGCTGGAACTGTCACCAAGCAGGTGACTAGGAACTGCTTTTGGGTGCAGAGGGCTCATGGGAGAGTGAGAACAATATAGGTCAGGCTGTGCATGTTCTCTCATGCCAGTGCAACCAGCAAGGAAATGAAATAAAAACAATGAAAACAGATATAACGGGTGGGGAGTTAGCTCAGTGGCATAAGCACCTGCCTGGCAAGTGCAAGGTCATGAGTTGGATCCCCAATACCAAAAAAAAAAAAAAAAAAAAAAAAAAAACCCCAAAAAACAGATATAACATTTCAAAAGTAGGAAGTAAATCTCACTTTTATAGATGACTTGATCACATATACAGAAAATTTTTACATCTACAGATTAACTATGAGAATTAGTAGGTGGACTTAAAAATTTAGAGTATAAAACTGTGTTTTTAAACATCCATGGCAAATAACTAGTAAATAACATTTGAAAATAACACAGTCTAAGACTTTTGCTAGTGAAACCATACAGAAAACCCAAAGCTGAAAGCCAACTATGAGGATACGTACTTATTATCACTAAACTTAGGAGGCTGAGACAAGAGAAACACTGCCAGGGCAGTGGGCTTCAAGGGCAGCCTGGGCTACAGAGTGCGTTTGAAGCCAGCCTGGGCTACATAGCATGACACTGTCTCAAAACAAAAACCAAATACCCCCCACCAAACCCCAAAACAAAGAAACAAACCAAAAAAACCCAAAGCAAACAGATTTAACCTGATGGGAGAAGGAGGAGCTGTTGTGTCAGATGGATGATTTTTGAGGGGCCAGAGGCCTCAACAACTTCCTGTCTGCCTCTGGTATCTCTAGGCTCCTCAACTTCACTCCTGTGAAGAATGGGGAAGCGGGGTGACACTGGCTCAGAACCACAGGTCCCTAGTGGGGAACAGGAAAGTCAGGTCTCGCACAGAATGAGGAAATCAGAAATGAAAGTAAAGTGAAGAAAGGTTTTATTTATAAGATTGTACATGCAAGAAAGAGCTGCCAGGTAACCAGAAAGCACTAGAAGGCGGGGGAGTTTGACCAAATTTCCCAAAGATCAGGAGAGCACTGATCTCATAGGGGTGAGCTGGTTTCTAAAATAGATGTTTTCTCTGATTGGTGCAATCTGGGCCAATTAGAGTGTTAGCTTTTGTTTCTGTGTTGAGGAAAGGCCAGGGGCCTAAGGGCCACCTAGTGAGTCTATGTAGTAGTTTCTCAAGAGCTTGCTTCCTCAAGTGCACACCATGATAATCTTGGGGTAAATACACAACCATCAGTCATCGAGGCCGTGTCCTACGTCATCCCTACCTATACCTCCCTCTAATGGTCCCTTCAGAATTGCTGGAGTTTCTTTCCAAGTGAACCAAATCCTTTCCACTCAATCCTCCACTCTCTTTCTGGATTTCTGGCTATGGGCAAAGGAAACACACAAACAAAACCTTGTATGCAAATATTTGTTGCCCTGCTTGGTTCTGAATTGCCTACCACAAGGGCAACACAACCTTTCTTCCAGCTGGTGAATGGCTAAGCAAGCCAGGCACCCATTCTGTGGCACATGCATGGACAGGGAGCAGAAATGGCCACGGATACACATGACATGCATGGAGCAAGCAACTGCAAGACGTGATGGAAATAGGACTCAAGAAATGATGTACTCTGGGACCCTGTTCACGCCATTCTGGAAAAAGCAAGAAATCACAGGGTCAGAGTGGCTCAGTGTTGGCCAGGAGCTGAGGGTTGGAGAGGCTGTTACAAACAGGTAGTGAGGGACAAAGCCTGGCTTATGAGATGGTCAGAGACAAAACGCACACAGAGCGTACATGAATCCTACATCTAAATCGTGAAAGCAGAGAAACAAAGGTTGCCAGACCCCACCCAAAGTCTTCAGCTATCAGATCCTCAGTGAGGTTCAACTTTATGTTTCTGGCCAGTTTGCGGCCACATGGGTGCTGTTGCCAGAGTCAGCATTTTGGAAACCCTTTGTTATGCCCATCTGCAGTCAATGGATCACAGGGCCCCACCCCTCCCAAGGACACCAAAATCCACCAGAGTTCCAGGCCTCTGTATAAAGCAGCTCATGCTGGCATAAACCTGTACATAGCCCCTGTATGCAGTCAGCGCCCCATAACTGTCGGTTCAGCCACTTGCCTCAAAACTGTCTGAAAAAGAGCCGCCCCCTCACTGAATGTATGCAGGGTTTGATTTTTGCTGTCCTGCAATGGCATGATGTTACATCCACCTCACTTGTGGTACACAGGATGGCAGGAGGACTCACCTGGGTCCTGCCACACTGCACCATACTGTTGTGCGAGCTCAAGTGTTTGTGAATTGGGGTGTTTGGGGATCCTAGGCACTGGGGCAACTGTACCTTAAATCATGTTTAGTTTGTAATAAGACCTAGAGTGGAGGCAGTGCTCTGTGTGTGGCTGCATGCTGCATTGTCTGGGAGGAGGAAGAGAGCTTTGCTCAGGTACAGGCACAGCTTCTGCTCTTAAGTCTTCACCCCCACGGTGGCAGAATCTGCAGATGTGAAGTCTACGCATAGCGAGCTGACTGTACTTCTTGTTCGTTTGTTTTTTGGATGGAACCTAGGTCCTTTGCTGAGCTCCATCCCCAACACTTTTCACTTTTTATTTTAAAACAGAGTCTCAGTAAGTCACTAAATTGCCCAGCCTGGGTTTAAACTTGTGATCTTCTTGCCTCAGCCTCTCACAGTACTGGGACAATGGACCTGACTGTACTTTTCTGATGTTTAAAATAGATGAAAAACTTCCTGGTAATTTAAAAATACCATGAAAGACAGATTTCACTGCAGATTAGACACATCCCAGAGAGAGAGAGATTCAGGAAATCTGGGGGCGAGGTGCGCTCTGGGTTGTGGAGGTCAAGGGCACCTCTCCGTGGGGAACTAAAATGTCCCCTTAGGGTGCAATGAATTTTGGAAGATGTGCTCTTACACCGCAATATGCAGACCCCACAAGGTCACAGTCCCTGGGTCCACTCAGGATGCTGGTAGAGCACCACTTCTCAGCACATCGGTACCTGTACGTGTGTGTGTGGGGGGGGCACACATGCACCATTCCAGCAAGCGTGCAAGCACAACTCCAAGAAGAGGCAGCAGACCTGGATCTCACTGGGACTGTGCGATACCCTGCTGTGTGGTGTAGACGTGGGTTGCCCTGTCTATGCCTCAGCTTCCTAATATATATGATGGGATCATTTTAGCAGCCCTGGGTGTTTGACATTTGACTGCAGGGCAGTTGTGGACACCCACAAGGACACTCAGCCAGAAGAGTGCAGGTGCGGCCTCCCTGCCTTCTAGGACCCAGTCCAGGCCCAGAGCACTGATGGAGAGGGACTCATGCACGGCCCTGGAAGGGTCCTGGGGCCAGGCCAGAGGGTGAGGACTCAAGGTGACTCTGTCTCCACAGACGACCGGCCTTACTGCAAAGGCATCCAGGACGTGGTTGGCGGTGACGGGGCCCTGGCCTGCCGCAGACAGAGCATCCCAGGTATGATCTCCCTGTCCCTGCATCCTGTGTGTCCTCTGTGTAGCCCTGGCCACCCTGCCTCATTGCCCATTCAACACCCGTCTTTGTCTCCTGCAGAGGAGTGCCGTGGTGTCACTGTGGTGGAGCTGACCAAGAGTGAGGGCAGCACACTGGGCCTGACTGTTTCGGGCGGTACCGACAAGGATGGGAAGCCCAGGGTCTCCAGTCTCAAGCCTGGAGGGCTCGCAGCCAGGTGAGCGGTAGAGGGGACAGCAGACTAGGCTGAGTGTGTGCCCGGAGCAGGAAGGGTCTGTTCCTCGCCTTGGCCTCTCCAAGGTCCCTTATACCAGGGGCTGCCTGGGCCCTTGCACTCCACCCACACCTTTGTAGCCATTCTCTCCCTCTGGGGTCTGTTCCCTGCAGTTCATCCTCTCCCATGTGGCACGGGTCACTGCTCCTGTGGGAAGCCCCCTGGCTGTCTCACTTGTGCTGTGTGACCTTGGACCACTGAATGGCCTGAATCTCCATAGAATGAGAATCAGAAGTTGTCAGGAGCCCCAGGTGACAGATATGGAAGCCAATCCCAGGCCACCAGTCACCATGTACCTGCCTCACACAGGAGTGACCTGCTGACCGTGGGTGACCACATCCGGTCGGTGAACGGCATCCGCCTGGCCCGGCTGCGACATGATGAGATTGTCGCCCTGCTGAGGAACGTGGGGGAGCGCGTGGTGCTGGAGGTGGAGTATGAGCTGCCCCCGCCCGGTGGGTGCCTCTCCTCGGAGGCCGGGCCGGGGCCATGCCAGGTGGGGGCAGGGAGGTGTGCAGGCTGTCACCAGGAGGCTTCAAGTCTCAGCCTGGCTGTAGCTCTTCCCAGCATAGAGATCTGAGGGCCCCAGCTGGGCATTATCCCTGGCCTGCTTGGAAGTTGCAGTCTTGGGGTCTGAATTCTCAGTGTTGCTCTCAAGCCTGGCCGAGTCTAGCCAGACTTGAGCCCAAGGCCACCTGGCACTTGAGAGTGAGCGGGGCCCTCTCCTCCCTTGGCAGGTAAAGCAGTAATGGGATGAGGGTCTCTCTAGAACCCAGTGCTCCTGGGATGGGCTTTGGGAACATCTGCCAGCCTAGGCCCTTGCAAGAGACTCATGGGTCTCCCTCTCCTCCACAGCCCCAGAGAACAACCCCAGGGTCGTCTCGAAGACAGTGGATGTCTCCCTTTACAAGGAGGGCAACAGTTTCGGCTTTGTCCTCCGAGGTCAGTGTAGGAACCGCTTGGCTCAGGAAATGAGGAGGGATTCTGTATATGTTGGGTTTTCCTTTTTTAACTCTAAAGAACCGTGGACTATTAAGTGTTTGGGGCAAAGGGGAATGGGAGAGACCCTGAACAGGGATGGGAAGCCACTGCTAAGATAATAAACAGGTTTGGTGCAAAAAGGGAAGTAAGACAAGATCTCAGGGAAGGAAGCAGAGATTTGGGTCCTGGGTCCTGTCCCTTGTCCTATCTCTGGAGAAGTTACAGCTGGTGTCTCTAGATAAGTCCACAAGTAGCAAGGACAAGGTAGGTGCCAGGCAAGTGTCCTTGGGGAAATTTCTTAGGGGCTGACTGGGCTGTGGGCAGAGGGGAAGGCGTACGAAGATGAGTGTTGCCTTCTGTTGGCTCCTGCCCAGGAGGCACCCATGAAGATCTGCACAAGTCCCGCCCACTCGTCCTGACACACGTGCGGCCAGGGGGTCCAGCTGACAGGTGAGCCTGAGCCTAAGGAGACTCACACCACCCAGAGACCCCCAGCCCTATGCAGTGGGCAAGTAGGGCCATGCTACCCTCCCCAGCTGAGCCCACAGAGATGGAATGAGGTCATGGGAGAGGGACCCTGGGCCTGCTCTGTGACAGCCCAGGATCTGGAGAGTGCTATACTCCCCAGAGAGGCCTGGCATGGCCTCGTGGTCAGTCTAAATCTGTCCTGGGACAGAGCCCAGCTGAGCTATTCCAGGATGGCCTGAAACAGCCTGGACCACCTGTCAGGGCCAGAGTGGACCTCAGCCAAGGAGATGCTTGCTCTCCCAGGCCCTCGGGGGCCTTTCCACTGGCGTTACCAGTGCAGGGTGGGAGAGGACCTTGACAGTGGGAACATGATGGTTCCCTGTGGACCCAGCAGACCTGGCAACTTCTGTGGGCCCATGCTTTCCTTGACCGGGCCCTGAAGGTCTCCCCTATCTTTTCCCTGCCCTTCCTGCAGGGAGGGCTCCCTGAAGGCAGGTGACCGGCTGCTCAGCGTGGACGGCATCCCACTGCATGGGGCTAGTCATGCTGCTGCCCTGGCCACCCTACAGCAGTGCGGCCATGAGGCACTCTTCCGGGCGGAGTATGATGTGACTGCCCCAGGTGCCAGCCTAGGCGAGGAGTATGCTGGGCATTGGGTGGGGGGCACCCTGGGGACTCATGGAGCACAGATGAGGCCTCTGTCCCAGAGAGCTGGCATCCACTGGGGAGAGTAAGTCAGGGAGCCAAATAGATGGTAGCATGTCCACAGGGACCCAGGTGGACAGGGAGAGAGTCAAGCCTGGGTTTAGGGGTACAGGTTGTGGGGTATGGGGATAAGGGCTCAGGGTGCCACTGCCAGCCAGATATGTGGTCAGCCATTCTCTACATGACAGAGACTGTTATTCATGTTGAGGTGATCCCTGTCCCTGTCCCAGCTTTGCAGTATAGGGGACTCACTGGTCACTGGGGTGCAGAGCAGGGCTGGGAGGAAATGTGCATCCCATTTCCCCACAACCCACTTGTCTCTGTGAGCAGACTTGGTGGCCGGGACAACTGGGCCACTGATGGTGGAGATTGTGAAAACTCCAGGGTGCGCCCTGGGCATCTCTCTTACTGCTGGCTATCACCGGAACAAGCCAGTCATCACAGTGGACCGCATCAAGCCAGCCAGTGTGGTGGACAGGTGAGGCCCACTGGACAGCACCTCTGGGGTATGCAAGGTGGGAGACCGAGCTTCAGCTGGACCAGCTTTCATTTCTACCCTGCCAGGAGTGGGGCCCTGCGTGCAGGGGACCACATCCTGTCCATTGACGGCACCAGCACAGAACGCTGCTCCCTGCAAGATGCCACCAAGCTGCTGGCAGGTGTGGTGGAGAAAGTGCGACTGGAGGTCCTGCCTGCTCCCCAGAGCCGGTGGCCCCCACAGCCTGTAGATGCAGGTGGGTCCCGGGCTTGGACCAAGAGGCAAAGAGGCCATGCCACCTGCCCAAGCCGGGTGGCGTCATTGGGCTTCCTGACCTCTCGGACCAGGCATCTGATATGCAGGGGAATGCTGCTGGCAGTGTAGACCATGTGGGGTTCAGGGTCTAGGGTGGGGAACCCGAGACAGTAGGACACGCAGAACCCTGGGAGGCCTGGGCTGGGTGTGAAGGAAAAGGGGGAAGAAATGTGGCCATGCTGTGACTGGACAAAGGAGCTGCTGTGGCTGTGGTAATATACATGGCTGAGACTCCCAGGCCTGGCCATAATGCCTTGTCCTAGAAGGAGAAAAGAGATGGTGGCAGGGGCCCCTGGCTGGAGGACTCTGGCCTCCTTGCCCAGCTGTCCCTTGCCAAGCCCCTCTCTCCTACCCACAGTGAAGATAAAAAGGTTCGAGCCCCCTGTCTGGGAGCCCCATGCTCCCTCCTGCCATAACCCACAGCCCACCTGGGGCCCAAATCAGAGCTGAAGTGTGAATACCCGTTCCTAAAGGTTGGGGGCAAAGACAGGGCTGCCTGCTGTCCCCTGCATGTCAGGAGTTCCACGTGGGGCTCTGGCTCCTTGGGCCATGCAGCAAGACTCATGTGTCATCTTCCAGCCTTGCCCTCCAGCCCCTACTCCTCACCACATGTGGACCATGCCTCTCCACGTACGCACCCCAGCACCCTGCCCCGGGGACCCCCACCTGGCAGCCCACGTGCCACTCCGATGCGCAGGAGGCCACGCAGGAGGGAGCACAGGAGCTCACGTGAGTAGGCCTGGTCTTGGGGTGGACATGGGTACCAGAGACCCCAGAGGCTCCCAGGTGTGATTGATCCCTTTCCTCGGCACATAAACCCAGGACCACACATATGCCACACAAGGCAGGGTCTCCTCTGTGGTGATGAATACATTCTAAAATGGGACTGGGCCACTTGCTTAGGGTCCCCACAACTACTCACATGAATTGCGTACTTTAGCTGAGTAGTCATTAAAAGACATGACGTGTGTCTCAATACACCATTACCTCAAACCATGCAGAGCACCAGCATGTGCTGGAGCAGGGTCCATTCCAAGGTTCTGTGACTGGGGTCAGACAGCTCATGGACAGCAAATGGATGGGCAGGCACAAAAGACCATGCACTGCTCCATGCCTCTCAGCATCCTTTCCATATCCCACTTGACCAGCCAAGGCAAGCTGTCCCAACGATCTGCCCCCTTCTGCCCTGTCATAGCAGGGCAGGACTTGTGCCCAAGACTCTAGCATGACTTTATCATGCCCGGAGCACAGAGGTGAGAGGCTGGCAGACAGGGTGGTATAGCTGCTCCACCGGATTGCTGGGTATTGACAATTTCTTGGTGTGGCTAACTTACCTCGCCACAGTGGGTCCCTGTGGGACCCAGTACTTCCTGCTGCCATGTTCTTGTGGGAACTTGGGGGAGTAATGGGGGCACTCCCTGGGGTCCCTGAGTGCTGTTCTCTTGTCCCACAGTGTCCCTGGCATCCAGCATGGTAGGGCCAGGTGGGCAGATTGTGCATGTGGAGACCACGGAGGTGGTACTGTGCGGGGACCCCCTCAGCGGCTTTGGACTGCAGCTCCAGGGTGGCATCTTTGCCACTGAGACCTTGTCATCTCCACCCCTTGTGCGCTTCATTGAACCTGACAGTCCAGCAGAGAGGTAAGCCCCTCCCCCCAGGCCACCAACTCTGACTAGAGACTCTGAGACAGCAGTGAAACTGAGTCACAGGTATTTCCCTGCCCCATCCCATGGCCTCTGTCAGCCCCATTTACCTTTGAGGAGGCCGAGGCCCAGAGAAGATGACTTCCTGACCTGTGTGTGGGGTCCTTGGGACTTGAATCCTCTCTGCCCTCCTTGGGTCTGACTGGCGACATCAACGCAGGGGACAGATAGGGAGACCAAAGCTAGCGTCCATGACAGAGTGCCACATGGTGCTGTCACAGACTCTGCCCCCACTGGGCCTAGGTGTGGCCTGCTACAGGTGGGTGACCGAGTCCTGGCCATCAATGGTGTTGCCACTGAGGACGGGACCATGGAGGAGGCTAACCAGCTGCTTCGGGATGCTGCGCTGGCCCACAGGGTTGTGCTGGAGGTGGAGTTTGACGTGGCAGGTGAGTGGGTGCCCTCTACCATTGCCTAATGCCTGCACCCAGCATCCCCTGGACATCAGCAGCCTTGGTGGCGAGGTCACAGGGTGGGACCCAGAGGGTACAGAACTTGAGTTCTGACTCAGGGCTGCCCATCCATAAGCTGCTACAGGACACCCCTTCCCTGTGACCAGGATCCCCTCTGTCAGTGTAGGTAGAGTAGGCATGAGTGAGAGGCCCAAATGGCGTCCCCATAGGTTGGGGTCCCCATGGTTTGATCCCATCTGTCTCTGCAGAGTCTGTCGTGCCAAGCAGCGGCACATTCCATGTGAAGTTGCCCAAGAGGCGTGGTGTGGAGCTGGGCATCACTATCAGCTGTGAGTCATCACCCGCCCTGAGCCAGCACAGCTGCCAGGGGCGACCACTTTACCGGTTGTGCAGTGTCCTTGCTCCCCACTCTGCATAGGGGACCCTCATGGACCTGAAGGCACCACAGGGTCTCACGAGTGAACTGTAGGGCCATGTGCCAGATGGGCCAGGCTTCCTGTCTCATTTCCTGCTCCCAGGGCCCAGAAGAGACCAGAGTGCTGGGTCACATTTGTCAGAGAAGGAAAAGGAAGGTGGCAGAAAAGCCCCGCTCAGGTGCTTAGTAAATCTGGGATGGGCAGAAGCTGAAGTCCAGGCTCAGCCAGCAAGCTCTTGCATCCCTGCTCCTGTGATCTCAGGGCCTTTATACGGCTCTGCCCTTGAGTCTCTCCTCATCCATCCATGGGACGTGGCTAAGGGGCGGCATGCTGGCCCCATACACATGCACACACAAGCAATACACATACTTGTGTATACACGTGCGCACATGCATGCACACGTGTGGACACACACAGGGCCGCCTCAGCCAGCCTTCCCACTGCCCTGCCCTTCATGCAGCCTTTTCTGTCTTACTCTCTTCCCTGCTCTCGTCTAAGAAGCCACCCTTGTCCTTCCTGTCCTTCTGTCCCCTGGCTGGGTTCCTTCGGGCTGTGCCCCAGTCATAGGCACAGAGAGCAACCAGGCTGCCCTCCCAGACTGTGGTTGGCTGGGGGAAGGTGAGCAGAAGGAAACAGGCAGCAAGTATTGAGTGTCTACTGCATGCCAGGAGGCTGGCAGGGCCTCAAGCCCATGTCTGTCACCTGCTTCCACTTTGCCACGTCCCTGTGAGGTGTGTCATGTCACAGCCAGTTTACCGAACAAATGGCGCCCAAGAGATGGCTCCTTTGCTCAGGATGCGTGGCGGGGTGGGGGGGGGTTGGAGGCGGGGGAGGACAGGAAAGAACAGGTTGAGACAGCGCAGTCTGGACCCCACGGAGGCCACAGTCTCCGCGTCAGACCGCGCCCTTCCCGTAGCGGCCAGCAGGCGGCGTGGCGAGCCCCTCATCATCTCCGACATCAAGAAGGGCAGCGTGGCGCACAGGTAGAGGAGGGCACCGGGCGGGCGGGTGGCGGATGCTGCGTGCGCGAGGGGCAGCTCCTCCCCTTCCCCCTGCAGGACCGGCACACTGGAACCGGGCGATAAGCTGCTGGCCATCGATAACGTGCGACTGGACGACTGCCCCATGGAGGAAGCCGTGCGCATCCTGCGCCAGTGCGAGGACCTGGTGAGGCTGAAGGTCCGCAAGGACGAGGACAACTCTGGTACGAGCCCCAGCCCCAGCCTCCCCCCGCCCCGCTCGCCCCGCCGCCCGCTCACGTTGCCCTTGCAGACGAGCAGGAGGCCACGGGTGCCGTGAGCTACACCGTTGAGCTGAAGCGCTACGGGGGCCCGCTGGGCATCACCATCTCGGGCACCGAGGAGCCTTTCGACCCCATCATCATCTCGGGCCTCACCAAGCGCGGGCTGGCCGAGAGGTGAGCGGGCGGTGCGGCAGTGGGGACCAGATACTGGAGTGTCCCCTCTGTGCGCCAGGGCGGGTCTGTAAACTTGCCATGTCCGTGGGTGAGAACGTACTGGGGGCTCGCCCAGAAAGAGAGGTGGCCCCGGCACTCAGGATGCATCTAGACCTCTTGCTGCCAGGCGGTGCCCCTGAGAGTTGTCTCCGGAGCAGAGGCACCCACGGGGGCCACCTGCAGGCACGAAAGAAGGACCCAGCCTCAGTCCTTGTGCTTGGTGCGCCCCCTGCTGGTCATAGGTAGTGGGGCTACTCTGTCGGTTCCAGTGAGGCCACCTGGCAATGGGCACAGTTACCTCCTCACCGTGTAACTCGTGCGGTCTGCGGAATGGCGTCTGAGCTCCAAACCGAATGGTCAAGTTTCTACTAGCCACTTACAGAAGGATAAAAAAATCAATGCGAGTCAACAGTTTCCAATGCAGACAGCTGCTGGCTCTTCCTGGAACTTTGCTCACAGAGCGCTTCACAGTTATGCTGTGTCTCACCCCATCCTGCTTCTACTTGGCCGCCCGACTGGGGCCGTGATGGTGGACACCTAGTGCACACCCTGATGCTGGGGTCCCTGCTGTACCCGGGCTGTGGTGGGGTTGGGGAGGCAAGGCAGCACCCAGCAATGTGTGATCCCTGGGTTCCTGCCACCCACCCCACCAAGATACCGAGAGCCTGGTCCTAACTCCTATTCAGGCTCCAAACCATTCTCCAGATGCGCACTGTACCGTCCCCTCCCAGGTTTCAGACCCAGTTAAGACTCTGTTAATGTAACCCAAGGTCACAATGCCCACCTTCTTTTTCAGTTGGGCATAGCGGGTTTTGCCAGGATTCACTCTGGGCCCCAGGGTTTCCATGAGGGGAGAGGCCCCCTCCCAGATCCTACGTGTGGGTCCTGATCCTGCCTCGTCCCCCCTCAGGACTGGTGCCATCCACGTGGGAGACCGCATCCTGGCCATCAACAGTGTGAGCCTCAAGGGCCGGCCACTGAGCGAGGCCATCCACTTGCTGCAGGCAGCTGGCGAGACTGTCACACTGAAGATCAAGAAGCAGCTGGAGCGTGAGTCTGGGGTCCAGTCACCGGGGTGAAGGGGTTGAGGGAGGGGAGGGCAGCTGGGTGTTCCTGCTGAGGTGTGGCTCTGGGTCACAGGCTTCCACAGGTCTGGTGTGGCCCGTGTCCCCTCTCTTCTGCATGTGCTGTCTCCCGTGTGCCTGTGGCCACACCCTGTCCATCCTCAGGGTCCCTGACCCTGTCCCCAGCTTTGGTGGTGGGCAAAGCCAAGTTATAGGCTCTTGTATCACTTGCTGTGTGGCCTGTGTCTTAGTTTCCCTGTCCGAGGCCCCTGGTCAGCAGTGACTCCTCCCCCAGGCCCTCTCATGCCCCACAAGTTGGGCAATGTCAGCGAGACCAGTGACACGGAAGAGGACCCACCTGAGGCCCTGAAGGCTGGTGCACTAGCCACCCGCTTTCCTTCTGCAGTGTGTAGTGTGGACAGTGCCGTGGAGTCCTGGGACAGCTTGGCCACTGAGGGTGGCTTTGGGGGCCCAGGTAACTCTCAGCCCACCTCTGAAGACTCCTGTCCCTCTCCTGCCCCCTCCCCCAGCTGGCCCTGGCCTTTTCCTTCAGGGACTCTTCCTGACCCCACCCCCCATGCCACTCCTAGGGACCCTTGGGTCCAAGCTCTTGGCCAAGAGTAACTGTGTGTGGCCAAACTGTGACCCCATTCCTGTCCCCACACCTAAGGCCCAGGTCACACAGATGCTCAAGCCATGTTCCCCACATCTAGCTGGAGACAAGAAGACAGAAGGCACTTTCCCTATGCCCCAAAAGCTCAGCTTGGGGAGATGTATCAGCTCAACTCCCATGCACACTGGATCCCAGGGACTAAAGTCCATAGAGACCATAGGAGAGCAAGTGGACCAGCCAGCAGGGCCTTGGGGCTCCCTGCCTGGTCCCAGGACCCCTGTCCCCCAGTAGAAGCCGGGGCAGGGCCTCTGAGTTCTGAGTTGGGGTGGGTTTTGTCCCCATGAGCCACACTCTCTGGCAGGTGATGGGGATAAATTCTGAGTCCTGAGTCCACTTCCTGCTGTAGCTGGGAGCTCCAGGAAGGGCCTGGGGTGACAGGGGACATGCAGGCCCAGAAGCCCGGAGGGAGCAGAAGGGACTGGGCACAGATACCTACCCTGTGCTCTCAGGTGCCTACACCAGGCAAGCAGCTGTCCAGGGTGCAGCCTCCCCGCAGCGGCAGCACAGTAGGCTGCAGGGCAGCCCCCAACCTGGGGAGCCCTGGAGGAGGAGCTACACCCCAGCCCCCGGCGAACAGCCCTTCCTAGAAGATGAGGACGATGACTGGGGGCCACCCGCAAGGTCGGTGGTAGGGACAGGAGGGAGACAGAAGCTGGAATATGGGAGCTCAGTGATGGTGGGGGGGGGACACCTGTGGCATGGGTGCTGTGCAGTCACAAGGCCACAGATCAAGGAGGGTGCAGTGGCAGAGAGGGGCATGGGCAAAGGCCTGGGGGCCCACATCACCACTGGGGAACAGTATGGCTGTGCCAGGTAGTGGCAAGGACCCTCTCAACCCAGTGGGTCTGTCCTAGTCAGCCCTCTGAGCACAACTGAGTCCCTGCCCTCCATTCAGGTGACATCTGCCACAGGTGTCTCCCTAGTTTGTAACCTGCTTGTCACATCTTCTCCATGACTGTGCTTGGCCCTGGCACCCATGGGGGAGAGGCCAGCTCCTTGAGCAGGGTACACCTTGACCTTACCGTCCTTGGGCTCAGAAACATTGGTGGCATCAGCTTCCTGGGGTGGAGGGACTTCCTGACCATGCTGTGTGGCATGTCACCTGTGCCTGTGACCTGTGTGCCACCACAAACCCTTCACCTCTGCATCATCTGTCCTGTCCTGTCCCTGTCCAGCAGTTCTGTGTGTCTGGGTGGGCAGGATGTCCTCTGGGCTGTCCAATGGATCTCCTGTCTGTCTGTCGTCTCTCCCCAGGCATCCTGTGTCACCGCTGTCCACCCCGTCTCGTCTGCCCCTGTTCTAACCGGCCACCGACAGTCTTGGTTGCCCCTAACTGCGTCTTCCCCTTATTCTGTGTCACCAACCACTATTCTGGGGCCCCAGCACTGCCACCGAGGACGCCCACCTGCCCACCCTGTGGCCCCAAGCCCAGCACTGGCCTGGCCTGAAGACTGCGCAGAGCTGACACTCTGGTTCCTACGTTGCAGCCCTGTCCCTGTCCCTGGCCCCGGCCGAGAGAAGGGCTTCTGGCCAGCACTGGGAGAGGCCTTGGAGGACCTGGAGTCCTGCGGTCAGTCGGAGCTGCTCAGGGAACTGGAGGTACCCCTGCCACTGTGGGCCTGGGGGCGAGTGGGTATGAACAGTGTGTTTGCATTGTGTGTTCTGGAAATCTTGTGAAAGTGTGCCTGCTCTGTGTGCCTGTGCATTCCTCAAAACTCGTGTGTGTGTGTGTGTGTGTGTGTGTGTGTGTGTGTGTGTGTACGCAGTACCTGGGCAGAGGTGGCTTCTGTGTGGTCAGGGCCATGACCTGGTAGACACTGCTGCCTTGAGTGGTTGCTGCCCAGTGGGGTGGGCTGCAGGAGGCCATGGGTCCCGCGTTCTGCACACTCTCGGATGGCCCAGCCCCACTGGAGCCACCCTTGCCCAGGCTCATTTCCAGAGTGGCTGCCTGGGTGGTGATGTCCTGTGGTGTCTGTTAACTGTCTCCTTCTTTCCTTTTTTTGTCTTACTTATTTCCGTGTTCAGCTTTACCACTTTTATCCCTACATGTTTTATGTCTAAATACTGGCATATTCCTGGGTTCTCAGCTAAGAATTCACCTGTGGGTCCTGCTGTGGCTGTGATCCCCCCAGTTGTGATGGGTGATAGGATTTTTATTTCCTGGGAATTGAATCCAGGACCTCATGCACACCAGGCAAGTGTTGTGGCACTGAGATACATCCCCAGTTCTTATGTTGTTTTGTTTTTTAATTTTTTATTTTGAGACAGGGTCTGAATGCCTAGGCTGGCTTGAACTCGCAATTCTCCTGCCTCAGCCTCCCAAAGTGTTGGGATTACAGGCATGAGCCACACAGCTAAGATATTTTTGTTCACTCAATTTAAAATCTTTTAAAGTTTTCCACTGTCATTTTTATATAAGCCCTTGAATTCTACAGAAGTGGGGCTTTTGATTTTGGATTACTGGTTATTTTTTAAATCCAATTTTAAAAACCAATTTATATTGGTTTTTAAATTTTTATATACTGTAGCCAGAGGATGTGTTCCAATGTAACTTTAATTCTCTGGAATTTGTTATGATTTAATCCTTCATGGCCTAGCACGTGACCAGCTTTGTAGATTTGTGTTTCCAAAGGAAACCAACTCCTTTTTGTTGGTGTATGGCTCTAGACAATTCAAGATTGTCCATAAACTTACTCAAATCTATGTATTTACCACACTGCATAGACTTTATCTTCCTTTTTGTTAGCAGTATAATAAGATGCCCACCATTACATCCTGTCAATTATTTGTAAGGTTTTTTTTTTCTTTCTTTCTTTTTTTTTTTTTTCTTTTGTCTTTTTGAAACAAGGTTTGTTATGCAGTTCACACTGGTCTTTTTTTTTTTTTTTTTTTTTTGTCTTTTTCATTGTTATTGGTGCCGGGGATCGAACTCACGACCGCCTGCATGCAAGGCAGGTACTTATGCCGCTGAGCTAAATCCCCAGCCCCCACACTGGTCTTAAACTCACTTTGTAACCCAGTCTGGCCTCGAACTGCCAGCAGTCTTCTTGCCTCAGCCTCCTGAGTGCTGGGACTACAGCTGTGCACCACCACATCTGGCCATTCTGTCAATTTTTATTTTCCATCCTTTGATGTTACATTGTTGGTTGACATAAATCCATGACTACTGTAACTTGTTAGTGATTTTTTTCTCTTTATCATTATCATTCACTATTATTTGTCTCTATGTACTTTCTACCTTAAAATCCATTTTTGTCTCATTGTTCCTCTGCTGTTAGTAATGTTTGTCATTTTTGTGTTTAACTAATTTGGTTTTGGGCTTCCTGTACTCTCATTTTAAGTATGTCTGTGGTATATGGCTGATTCTCTCAAAGACAAGCTCAGAAATTTATATTTTTACACTGTTAAACTTAATTCTAGCATGTAATTTACATTTTGCATGCTTTCTCTATACTTATTTCTCTTTCCTTCTTTTGTGTAGATAAATTTTTCATTTTTTTCTTCTCTCTCTGTCACCTCTTTGGAGAATTTTAATTTCAATTTTACAGTTTTAACAAATATTCTTAATTCACTGGCTTTATTTTGAATACCCAATCTTTACATTTGAAGCTTTTTGTTATCATAGAAGTGAAGTATGGACTGGGTACAAAATTAGATGAGCAAAATGAAATTAAAACTAAGCAAAATGAAATAGCACTCACAACTTTCCCAGCCCAGAGGCCCTGCTCTCGAGTTAGCTGTTTCTGAAGGTAGCAAGACCAGGGCGAGGTTATTCTGCTTCTGCAGGCAGCAGCTTCGTCCTTCAGTGTCCACACATCTCGTCTCCACCTAGGACACGCCCCCGTCCCCCAGGGCCCGCTCCATTCTCAGCCAGCTTTGTCCAAGTGACATCTCTTAGTTCATGGTGTTTCTAATGACATTACAATTATTCACATAATGCAACATTTCCCATTCAGTTGTTTTAAAGCGAACCTGCTGTGGCACCCAATGTACCTTCTGCCCACTCTGTGACCACAGAGGAGTCACAGAACCGTGTCTGCCCGGCTGCCTGTTCTAATGTGCAGCACGGATCTAGGATCTGTTGTTTTCTTTGTGGTTGTTCTGTGCCCTGACCTTCACACCCCCACACCTGTCCTTGACTTCATCTGTCTCACAGTCTCAGTGCAAATTTTTGTTGTTGTTGTTGTTGCTTTGATGCTGGGAATCAAACTCACAACCTTGTGCTCGCCAGGCAAGCACTGTGCCACTGAGCTATATCCCTGGCCTTCAGTGTGACTTTTGTCCCTCTCCTAATGAAATGTCCCAACTCCCTCCACTCTGCTTCTCCCATTTCTGACCTGGGTGTGTTGAGTCTGGCTGGTGTCTGGGCATTCCTTGTGTCTGCAGCATCCTGTCCCTGTATCCCCTGCGGATACTCGCTGGGGAGGGCTGGGACAGTCTTAAGAATCCCATCCTCACCACATCCACATGACTGGAGCCTTCTGATAGCTGGGCTGGGTGCAGGTCAGGATCTCTGACTGCTGAGACCAACAGCTGTCCCAGGACACAATTGTGTCACCCTTGAGCTCACCGCTGCTCCTGAAGGGACATGGGCAGGGTGGTGCTGCCTGTGGAAGGGTTATTGACCACAGGTGGCCTGAGGCTAGGCCCTGTGACTACAGGCCTCCATCATGGCAGGCGCCCTGCCCAGCGCGGTCCTGGAGGGCAGGTCTGGACCCCGGGCCTGGAGGGGCACACGGGAGTCTCGTGTATCTGCAGAGGAACTGCATGAGCTACTGCTCCCCACCGCGCTGGAGATGCACAAGGTGGGTACAGGGAACAAGGAGGGCCTGATGGCCCCGCTGTGGCCCCCTCCTGGCTATGTTTTCCACTACAAAGCAGGGATTTCGTCCTAGGTTGAGTTTTCCATAGCTCTCACCATGTCGCTGACACCCACACACATGCACACACACAAACATGCCCACATGCATGCAGTTAATACTTTTCTCTAAGTAGATTTACTTTTATCCTCACTTAAATATATGTGTATTTGTCCATAGCCAAACATGTAGAGATTTGAATATGCACACACGTAGAGGTCAGTTCCTACCCAGGCGTGTGTGTGTGTGTGTGTGTGTGTGTGTGTGTGTGCTCATGTGCACACCTCTCCCTACCACAAGCCCTGTTCTGCAGAGCCAACCATTCACACATGGAATGCGTGCTCTGAAACACACTGTTCTGAGCACTAGCAGACTTTCAGGTTCTTATTCCTTAAAAGTGCAGCATAGCACTACCGATACCATGTGTACACAGGCTATGAGTTTCCTAGACATGACCTAAAGTGCAGGGCAGATAAATGCCAGTGTATATGTGGACCTGAGCAGAGCAGGTGCCATCCCAGGGCCCTGGCACCTGCCCCCTGCATCACCTGCACCTGCCTCATGCCTTCCCTTCACTCTTGGTAAGGAGCTGCCCCCGCATAACCCCACGGTGTATTGCTCTACAAGAAGACAGAAGACCCTCACCTGGAGCTCTCCACAGTGTGCTGTCTTTAGGGGCTCTGGAAGGGACCCAGGAGCCATCTGCTCTTGTGTGCATGCTGCAAGCAGAGGCCTGGTCTGGTGGAGGGAAGATGTTTAGGACGATCTGGGGGGCTTAGTCCAGGTACTCCAGTTCCTTGGGAGGCTAAGGCAGAGGCCAGACCTGCAGGGATCCTCCTCTGCTCCCAGGTGATGCTGCACAGAGACCCCACACGGCATGATTTTGGCTTCAGTGTGTCCGACGGCCTCCTGGAAAGGGGTGTCTATGTGCACACCGTGCGCCCTGGTGGGCCTGCCCAGCATGGGGGCCTGCAGCCCTTTGACCGGGTCCTGCAGGTAAGGAAGAGAATGCAGGTGCACAGCTATTTATCTGTGAAAGTCATGCTGGGGACACGGTGGGCACAGCTGTGATCTCAGTGCTCAGCAGGCTGAGGTAGGGGGACCTCAAGCAACTTAGCAAGACCCTGACTCAAAAAATAAAAAGGGCTGGAAATGTAACTCAGTGTGGAGCCCAGGGTTCAGCCCCCAGGAAGAAAAGCAGGTGCTGGGAAGTATAGATGAGATCTGGCTATGAACCCACAAGGAGGCCTCATATGTGCAACTTAACCTGAGCCAAGCAGAAGACCTGAATCCCACCATACCCCTTGTTGTGCTACACACAGGTCAACCATGTCCGCACACAGGACTTCGACTGCTGCCTGGCAGTGCCGCTCCTGGCCGAGGCGGGTGATGTCTTGGAGCTGGTGATCAGCAGAAACCCTCTAGCTCCATGCAGACAGGCCCCGAAGACACCTGGCCCTCCAAGTCCCCAGATGCTCTAAAACCAGGAAAATCCTGACCTCAGTGGTGCTGGCTTAGAAGTGGGAACTCCGCTGTCCATCTGTCAAGCTGGTGGACTCTGTCTGTGTTCTCTGGTCCCATGGTAGATGGGGTACTGGGGATGAGGTCCCTGCCACAGCTGAAATGACATCCGGAGTCCTCCCATGGGCTTGGACAGGGCTCAGCCAGGAAGAGAGGCCATCTGGGGAGCAACCAAGAGCTTCCAGACAGTCAGCTCCAGGTCACAGAAGCTGAGCAAGCCGGTGCCAGACATCAGTGCAGTTAGAAGCAGAGGTGTGGCCCATGTGGGCTCAGGGTCAGCTTCCTGACGGATGGAGCCACTGCATCAGAGACCCTGCACCCAAGGAGGGGCTGTGCTTCCTGCTCTGGGCACCATGAGGGTACTGGAAGTCAGTGGGTGACTGTCTCAGAATCTGGGACTTGAAAGGGGGTGTGATCCTAGAAGCACTTGGCACCAGGTTGTGGGTGCCCCTTCTAGTCTTTGTAACCTGCTGAGCAGGATCTGCTGGGAACAAAAGACAGGGAAGTTTTTGTCAGTCACCTGACTTCTGAAGGAGGACTGGGGGAAATGGTAAAGACCCAGGTGCAGCTTTTCCAGGCCCAGAGCACAGTGAGCAGCTAAGGGCCAGGCCAGAGGAGCCCTTTTCATTTTGAGATGTGCACGGGGTGGGGCTGCTGTGGGACAGCTTGGCCTTGCCTGGTTCCGTTAGGGTCTCAGAAGGGTACCACTTTCACCACCTGACCTGGGAGCCCGGAACTCATTTCCTTTGTAGGGACAGGTGGGGTCACAGGTTTGGTCCTCGGTTGGATGACTCCCAGTCACATTCCACACTGTGACAATTGAGGCAGAAGTCTCTGAACAGTTACCTGCTTCCAGTCACAGCCAGGACCCCACCTTGTTCCAACTCCTGGCCTGCTTGTCTAGGATTCTTGCCTTTGAAGGTTCTTGGCACCTGCAGCCAGCTTGCTCATGGCTCTGCTGGACACCCACATCAGGGGACTGGGCACTGCAAGAGGCACTAAGCAGAGGCCAGAAGCCTTCCTGACATCACAGCTTGGGCAGGTGGCTCAGCCTCTCCAGAAAGACAAGGCTGAAGTGGACATGCTCTCAGGGCTGGTGGCAGCATGAGGACACTGCTGGGATGCTATCTTAGGCTCAGGGAGAGGAAGATGTGTCCCTCACTGGCTGCCCCGTCTCCCTCCAAACATGTGCAACCGGCCCGCAGTGGGCAGACTTCCGCTGAGGCCAGCGGCCCGTCCTCCTTGTCCTCCTCATATGCAATACCCTGCTCCTCCTGGGCTGTTTAGGCCACTCCCGCCCTTGCCAGCGTCCTGCCTGCTATGCACTTGGGCACCGCCGAGGCCCATCCCGCCCCAAAGCTGTATTTTTCTGTGGCTGGGATTAGAGCAGATACCTTGTAAAGTATTTTTGTACTGTTTCTTAGGGATTTGGGAAGCACAGCCCACCTTGCCAAGGCCGCCTGGGGTCTGCTTGGGCCATGTGCTAACCTCGGGGCAGTGCTATTGGGGTAACTTTTAAAATAAAATTATTTCAGTGCACCTGGATAGGTGGCTACTTTCTCTAAAACCACTGGTGGGAAAGGGCCAGTTTCTCTGGATCCAGCAGCATCTCATTTGCTTTTACCTCATTCATTCAAAGCCTGCCACACACGACATTTCATGCAGCCTTTGGACCAGCAGAAGGCTGCACAGCACAAGGAATTCCTGCAGGAGGAGTAAAGACAATAAAGCAAAACAGGGCGCTGTCGTGGTGATGCACACCTGTGATCCTGCTGATCCAGGGCTTATGATACAGGGATGATACGTAGACCTCCAAGTAATATAAGGAAAATACAAGCCCAGTGTGCTAGATGGCCAAAACACCAAGTTTGTGTGCTCTAAAATAGGAGAATAAGTTCTATTGACAATGACAGTTAAGAGGAAGAATTTATTGAAAGAAAGATAACTTTTGTCTGCCCCAGGGAAACCCACTTCCAAGAGTGTTTTATTACGAGGTGAGGGGAGCTCAAGGTGGGACAAACTGTAGTCAGCTAGTAAGATTATAAGTACAGTCATGTGGGTAATACTGATTAAATGGGATAAAAGGGGGAAGCAAGTCACTAGCTAGCATACAAAGATTCTCCTGGAAGGAGTGGGCTAAGGAGGTTTATGGTCGCCCACCCACGGTGATTGGTGCCTATTTAGAATATCAATCACTGCTGTTCATCCCTGAGGGAAGTATGTGGGTGTAGTTCTTCCTCTTTTTCCCCAAAGCCTGGCCTTCAGTAAATGTGCCTCTAGTCACAATTATCTTCTATCCTGAGGGCCTAAGTGCCTGTCTATAATACCAGCATTCAGAAGGCTGAGGCAAGAGGATCTCAAGTGGGCAACTTACCAAGACCCTGTCTCAAAGAAAAATAAACAGGACTGGGGGGGGGGTTATCTAATGGTACAGCGTTTGCCTAGGACGTGCAAGGCCCTGGGTGTGAGTCCCAGTATTGGAAGAAACAAAACAAAACCCAAAGGTCAGTATAGACAGAAGGCCTTAGGTGAAGGGGACAAGGTGAAATCTGCATTGAGAACTAAGGAAAGGAGCTGTGTAGAGCCCCAGAGGAAGCGCCCCACAGAGGGCACAGCAAGAGCAAAGGCCCCAAGGTAGCTGTGAGTGTGGCAGATTCCAGGAAGAGGGGGCGGGGATTCTTCAAGGACCAGAAGTGGATGGAGGCTACAGGCAGGTGAGGGGTACAGTGGAGTTGCCTGTCTCCAGAGCAAAAAGGGTTCTGGGGGAACTGCAGCTCCAAGGTGGGAGTAAGCAGCCCGTCTCAGGAGAGAGATAATCAGCAGGCACTGAGAGGCCATTCTGTGTGCTTGGCAGAACTCACTGGGCCCCCACAGCCTGCTGGATCAGGCTCTGTCACTGTGCCAGTGACACCCAACAGCAGCCAGAACACAGTAATCTGTGTCACACAGGCTCCAGAGATGGAGCCAGGAAGTGCCCAGCCACACTGTCAAGACACATGGTGGACTATGATGCTGGCACAGACAGAGGGAGGGGCTCGGGTTCCCTGACACAGTCACCAACAGCAAGGTCCTGGGAAGGGGACTTAACCCAGCAGCCCTGGCTCTGTCTATACGAGAGGCCACCCCAACTCCTGGGCGGGGGGGGGGGGGGGGCCCTGCAGGGCAAGTGCACACCTGTCACCTAGCACCACTCTAATCTTCCAGGCCACCTTACAGTGATGATGGTAATAGGTCACTCCAGATGGGGGACAGGCTCACGGTACTGGTGCCAGGGCCCCGCAGCACTGGGATGGGCACACAGGCAGAGCCAGCAGAGCAGACTCACAGCCCATGGGTCCCAGAGCTCCCTTTCCTCTGTGAACTTCACTGACCCCTGAAGTCCGCATCACCCCAACCTGCCACCTGGTACAGCAGGTCACCATCACCATAAGTGCCCTAAAAAGCCACCTGTGTAAGGTGGCATTCCTTCTGTGGAGGTAAACGGTACATTTAGACTCAGGTCCAATTTTCAGGATGTCCTTTAGGGTTCAGGTAAAACCCAAATTAGCCTGCAATTTCTCTTGCTGAGGACCCTCAGGTTGGGCAGAAAGCCTGCCTGCCTGTATGTATCTACCTCTGTCTGTCTATGATCTCTTTGAGATAGGGTGTCAAGTATTTGAGGCTGGCTTCAAACACACAATGATCTTCCTGCTTCAGCCTCCTGAATGGTAGGATTATAGGTGTGTCCCACCTCCTGCCCCAGCTCAGAAAGCTCCTCATAAACTGTAAAGCACTTGCCAACCATAAGAGACGCCTCCCCCTACACCAAAACACACCTCACACATACAGAATTTTAAAAAGGAAATGTTTATTGTCATGTTATAAGGTAATTACAAACTCCTCTAAAAAAAGCAAAGATGAATTTAAAATATCGATATACATATTTATCTAAAAAGCAAAGGGGGGGAAACCCCCGCACACCACAGGGATTCAGATCATAAAACGTTTACACACAGAAGCCTGTATACCGCGGGACTGAATCACACCCCCAGATCTTGTCCCAATGCAAAGTCTTTTGTTGGTGGATTTTCTTTTCCTTTTTTTTTTTTTTTTTTTTTTACAAAAGTTTAAAATATCTTAAAAATATTTTGATGCTTTACAAAACCGATGAGCCAGACATGTTTCTGGAAGGAGGCAAACTCATGCTCTCCATTTCTCTTGTGCTAAATACAGCGTCACAGTTGTCAGGGACTGGAAGTTTCACTGGGCGGAAAACAAGAGCTCTGGTCTCAGTCTGACGCCAAAAATACAGCAGGCACCAAGTATGTGCCAGCATGGTGACTCCACAGAGGATGGGACACAGCACCCAGGGCCCTTGCTGTGGGCATCTCCCTCACTGCACAGAGGTATTTAGGGCACCAGGTGGACACAAGAATGAGGGACAGTGGGACCCAGGCCTCTCTTGGGTCCTCTCCTGGCCTGTAACTGAGTCCTATGGAGAAGGGGGCGCTCTGTCCGTGGACTGGCTGTCCCCGAGCACCTCATTCAGAGGGCAGTGCTAAGGCCATGGGCACCATAGTGACACTGGTCAGCAGGGAGCTCACCTGCACACCTTTCCCCAGCTGACCTGGGCCTGTTTCATCTTGTGCCAGTGGGGCTCTCGGCACCTGACTTTCAGAGGGCTGGGAGGAGAGGGATGGAACCTCCAGTGGCCTGGAAGACCCAGGGTGCCATCTCGTGGAGGAGCCACAACTGGCCTGATTCAGTGTCGGCTTGTCCCCCCCTATCCTGGGCCACAACATCCCCATCTACTCATAGAACCCTTGGGGGCTACCCCAGGCTGCTCCCTGGCTGAAGCTTACCCCGATCCAGGGTTATTCCTATCCAGACCTAACAGAGCAGTGGGGATCCTCCCTATTCTTGGAGTTACAGCTCTCACCAGCACCACATTGCCATGGGGACAATGACAGGTGACATTGTACATGGACTGGCAGGGAGGGCATGAGGCCAGAGGAAGACAGGTGTCTGGCGGGGCCTAGGCATTCAGCCTGTGCATGTCTTTGGTCTAGGATTTGGTCTGGGAATCATCAGAAAGATCTTCCTCTGGTCATCTGTCTCTGACCCACACATGAGAACTCTCCATGGGGTTGGAGCCAGAATGGAGGTTGGAGTCAATGACCACAGAAGCCTGGGCCATCAGCCATCACCTGCCTTTCCTCGTTGATGGTGGTTAACAAATTCCCCAAGACAAGAAGACAGGTCACAATGCCACGCAGTAAAACCAGGAGGAAACAAGAGTCCGATCAAATCATATACGCAGTAACAACCAACACAGCAAGGGGACACAGGATGTCCAACAGCTGTGAAGGGATGGGTAGTGTCTGGCAGAGTTTACAGCTTTGGAAATAGAAATACACTCATGTCACAGACAAGAGGTCCAGCACCGCCCCTAGGGAAGGGCACTGAAGACATCCCAACTCCCAAATCTGGGGTAGAGAGTGGGCTTCTAGGATCTGAGAGTCCTACTCTGCATGCTAAAGCCTGATTGCTTCCCACTCCCTGGAAAGAGGCTGCCTTTGAACTGGTCCTGCTTCTGCTCTGGGTTTTCCAAGTGGAGATGTCTGCGCTGGGTGGTGTCAATATGCTGCGCTTCTCTTGGTTCTGGGGTGCCAGCCCCCTGCTCCCCAGCTCTGCACATGTCCCACTTCCTCCCTCGATCCCCACACTGCAATTATCTGACAGCAGCAAGTGCAGGACCAGCTTAGGGACCAGGACACTGGGGCATCCAGGTCATGGTAGAAGGTGGAGAATCAAGGGGGCACTGCCCCTGACCAAGGCCCTGCCTTGAATGCTACTCCTGGCAAACTTGCTGGGAGTTGGGTGTTGTCAAGGGTCTCCCAATAGCTGGGGACGAGGACAGGAAGGTGACACAGGCAGAGGGCACCTGAGTAGTCATGTTTAGGGATGGTTTGGCACTGGTAAGGACCCACTTGGTGGAACCCAGCTGTTCCTGGACTACTACTCAGCCTGGGATCTACTTGGAACATTCAGGGAGCATAGTAGCTCCTCGGCCTGAGCCCTGTCCCCTACCACCCATCCAGGTTCCTGTTTGCTCCCTGTGTCCACCTGGTTCCCGCTGACCTTCCACCGTCAGTCTCAAAAGATGGGGGTTTGGTCCCACATCCTGTGGTCTACCATGCTTGGATTTGCTGAGGACCCCCTCTCTTGGCTCTGGTCAGGGGGTCAGGTGGCTGTGCTGGCATCGCTCTTCTTGGCCACAGTGCCCTCACAGCCCCCTCCACCCACCTGGACTGGCTTGGAGGCTGCACCTGTGTGGCGGCATCTGCATCTTAGAAAAACCCTGCCCTGCAGGCTCAGGGTGGAGCTCTCTGCCAGCTCTGCAAGCACCAAGAATTGCTTTTGAAAATGAGATCTTGCTGGCAAGAAGATCCACTTACATGGTAGAGTGTATGACAATCTCTAAGTGTATATAGTTTTATGAAAAAGATACAAAGAAAAATTTACCAAGTTCCCATAAAATACATCTAATCCCGTATGAAAGCTCGGCTTCTCCCCGGGGACTTCTGCCCAAGAGTTTTCTTTTTGTACAAAATATCCCCAAATCAAAATGAAACACACGCACGCACAATACACAAACGCGCACACATGTGGAGTAACGTTTTCTGTGACAATTAAAAAAAATCCTAGTGCAAATATAAAGCTCTGTAAACCTGGTCCTATGAGATCTAATGTTAGTAAACAGCAGGGCGGCAGGGTCACATCATGGTCTCCACCACGATGTGCGTGGGCTGCATGAGTATCCCATTGGCGGCTGGGTGCGCGGCAAACGGCGTAGCGCCTTCTTGCTCCACAGCCCAACGGTTGGGCTCCCTTGGGGTCAGCAGATACTTAATCCGCTGTGGGGAGAGAGCAGGGGCCCATGAGTCAGGAGAAAGGAACCTTGCTATACCCTCCCCAACCTCATGGTGCACTGCCTGGAACCTGGCACTGCCACCTTCCTGGACCTCCTTTTGTCCTTTTTGTATGGAGACAAGAACCAAAGTGATCCCATGATCCCAAAAGGCCCCAACTTAGGACAGCTGCTCCTCAGTCAGCCTCTTGCCATTTCAGTCATTTGTACCCAGTTCCTGCGGGCTGTGAGTCCCCTATCTTCAGCCTTCCCCAGGGAGAAGTGCCAAGCAAGTTCATGGCCTGCTTGCTGTGGGTGGATGACCCAGGCTGGTGCACACGTGCACCTAATGTGCTGCTCATTAGGGATCTTCTTGTCACATGAGGGCCTGGGTGTCACCACAGCCCTGCCAAAGGGGAAGAGCAGTGGAGTGTGGGCAGTATTTCCTTTAGAAACCCAGTTTCCACTCCTCTGGACACATGCAGGCTGGGCAGTCCAGTCCACAGTCAGCCATGGCCGGAATCTACCATGAAGCGGATTCAGGGACTCAGCCACCTGAGCTGGGGGAGCTGGACACCCAGAAAGCAGTCAAGGGCACTGTGGGAACTGGCTGGTGGAGAACCCTACTTCTGCCTCTCTTATACCAACATGTACCCATAAATCTTTTGAAGCAGCAGTATTTTAGTTAGGCTCTGAAGGTTCAAACATGTGGGATGGTCATCCAGACCTCTGAAGACCCTGCCCCACATGAACCCCCTCAGTGCCTGTGCAGGAAAGGATACAGTTCAGGCCCAGCCCTTCAGTGCCATGGCACCCAAGAAGGCCACTGGGGTTTGGCCCTGTGGCCATCAAAACAGGGCTGGGGATTTAGCTCAGCGGCATAAGCATCTGCCCTGCAAGCATGCAGTAATGAGTTCAATCCCCAGAACCAAAAATAACCCAAAAAAACCAAAAAACTAAAACAGGCCCAGGCCTGAGGGACAGGCCCAGCTCCAGGCCACCTCTGCTGCTTCCTCTCCTCTCTGTTCCTGGCCCCACCACAGCTCCCCAGGACATCAGCAAACTGGCCATCCATCTCCACTATCCATGGGGAGCAGAGTCCCAGTACATCCTGGTTCCAGATTTTTAAGAGAAACAGCTAGAGCCTGGAGTCTGGAGCACAGAGTGGGCCCACGCTCAGGAAAGGGAGGCCAAGCAGGAGCTTCTGGAGAAAGGCCCTGGGCTGCCTTGCTAGAGGGGTCTGAGAAGAAGAGAGGGGAACTGACTGAGACCTGGCCACTATGGTGGTGTGTGTGTGTGTGTGCGTGGCGGGGAGAGGGTGCTTCCATTGGCCAGGTTATTGATGGTACTGTACTTGGTTGGAACAGGCCTGGTATCCTCCTCAGGCAGAGCTCAGCTCCCAGCTTGGCACCTGAAGCCACCATCACTGTGGCATCCTTCTCCTGCTCCCAGGCAGGTCCCAGAGACCACAAACGTGTGCAGAAGGTGCCACCCTGCCTCCTCCTCTGACTGCTGCAGAGGAGCCACTGGTTATGGGTGGGGTCACACAGAACAGCTGTGCAGGTAGACAGCCGCAAGGAGAAGCAGCCACCTCCCCGACTCCCCGCAGCTTACCACACGCAGCGGCCCCTCAGTGCGGCAGAGGCGGATGAGCACAGCTAGAGGGACACACACCATGGAGGACAGGGCCAAGCCCCAGCCCAGCCCAATGGCCCAGGTCGGGTATGTGTAGACCTTGTTGTAGGTCAGGGGCACGTACTTCGCGAGCGAGAAGATAAAACAGCCCTGTGTGTGGAGAGACGGAGTTAGAGTGGCCGGCTGGGAGCAGTGTGCAGGCCCAGCCTCGCCACTCGGCCTACAGTCAGCACTGAGTGCCTACACCCTGTGTTGCCCTGGGCGCAGGTGCCCTCTCTCCTACCTGTCTGCTCCTTACGCGCCTGGCTGTTCCTCACAGGAGTGTGTGGTTCTGACTCCCCCTCTGCCTGGGGCCCTATCCTTTTGCTGTCTCTGCTTCCCTAATGCCACATACCACTAGATGCACATTTACAGGTACACAATCAATGCATGGTGTAGATAAAAACCTCCCTCCCATCCCCCACTGCGATCCCCAGGACAGGGTCGGCTCCCAGGCCTGTGCTCCAGAGGAGTCATCACTGGGCAGAGCCTGGCTGCTAAGATTGCCCCTGGGCACTACCTCTACTTCACAGGGACGTCTGGGTCTTTACTTGATATCCCGAAGGTCTTGTGCTCCAACACCCCTGGAGCTACAGAAACTGTCTCTGGCAGGGTCCAGATTTCTGTAGCCCACACCCTTTCTGTCACAATGCCCTGCTTTGTACACGTTGTGCCTTTGCCAGGAAAGCTCTGGCTGACAAACTCCTACACATCCTTCAAAACTCAATCTAAGGCTGCCGTATGGACAGCTGTTCCTCACTGTCCTGGGTGGTGCCCAAGCCCACCCCTGAAGTAGCTCCCCAGAGTCCACGCTGCATGACACTTACAACACAGAGAATAGGAGTGACGAACGCCCAGCTGTACTTCATCCAGGGTCCAGGCCGATAGCCGATCATGTCCTCAATACCATCATAGAGGTTATCACCCCCTGAAAGAGACAGCAATGAGCTTAGGGGATGCAACGTCTAGGGACACACTGCCCAGGAACAAGGAGGCAGGGCATACCCACAGTGCACAGATGAGCGCTCAGGCAGTCAGAGCCATGGCCCTTTGGGGTTTTTTTTTTTTCTGGCAACCTGGGCAGGTGTCAAACTCTATAGTGGCCACTGAGTTCTCTAGGGGCCATTTCTGGACCCCAAGGTAGAAGTCATGGCCAGCCCAGTACCCAGATGGCTTCCTTCCACATCACAACACCCATCACACCTCGAGCTTCAGCATAAGGCACCTTGGTCCCGCTCCTGCTGTGTCTAGGGAAGGAGCTGAAAGGGACGGGAGAGCAAATGGACCCAGTACTCACCATAAATCCAGGCAATAACAATACATTCAAAGAATGCAACCCACAAAAGGCATACACCGCTAGCTGCATAGTAGTCAAAGAGTTGAAACACGTACATGCCACCCTGTGGAGGAAACCAGGTAAGCGATTGGTGCCTGGCCAAACCCTTCCTATGCAAAGAGCTTAGGGAAGCAATAAAACCCTAGGCCCAGGAGCGCAGCTCAGCACTAGGTACCTGCTTTCTGAGTCCCCCACTTACACCTCTAGTTCAAAAATAGCACTCAGGAGCCTGAGGCAGGAGGATCACTGAAAGTACAAGGCCAGTCTGAACTACAGAGTGAAACTTTGTCTCAAATAAACAAAAACAAATAAAAAGGAAAAGTAGTGGCCTAACACCTGGGCTGGGCTGGGCTGGGGACGACTCCAGCACAACCCTCTACCTCCCACAGGGTGCAGCGCTGTCCATGCTCCCTGGCCCCAGGCTCCTGGTTTTTCCATGCCACCCAGCCCCCTCGAGGCTGTCAGGCCCAAACTCCTTCCCCGGCACATTCAGGAGACAACAGGGACTGAGACCTAGGCACAGTCAGGCCTGGGTCAGGGCCCCTGAGTACAGTGGAACCCAGGTACAATGTGATCAAAGGCAGAGCAGGGCGCAGCAGGACACAGCAGGACCCAGCAAGACACAGCTGTGGCAGGGCACAGGGGTGGGAGTGTGAGGGGGTGGCGCCACCTACCTCCGTCACCATTGACAGCCCCAGCAGGTAGCTGATGCTGCACACAATGGCAATGAAGATTTCCCGGCGATAACCCTTCCTTAGGAAGGATGGGTAAAGATCCACCAAGGATGTGATCTGTCCCTCGACTTCAACAAACTGCGAGAGAGGACAGGCCTGAGCAGTGGCCATGACCGCCACCATGGGCCCAACCCAACCCCGTGGTCACATGCAGGTCCTTCCCACCTCACACCCTCTCATTCTCCAGGCTCGGCTCTGAACCCTGCATCTCCAAGAGGCTGTGCAGCAAGACAAACTCGCTCCTGTCTCACTCATCTTGAACCCCAGGCCTTGAATACCAAGCCAAGCCACAAACTCATGGTCCTCAGCACTGAGTAACTCAGGGCAGGTCTGGGCCTCAGTTTTCCTGTCAGTGGCCATTCAGGTCAGTGTCCCAGGCAGTTTCTGGCCCTGTGGCAATTACTCACCCACGTGGATAAGCCATGGCTGTGCCTGTGACTTGGCAACCCCTACCCAGGCTCCCAAAAAGGCCCCTCTGCAGGTAGCATTCTAGGATGGCCCTCAGGTTTCCTGAGTCTCCCTGTCTAAGCACCTAACAATTTCTCATGTGGCATTAAATGGAGAGCCGTCCCATTTCTTCAGCAGCAGCACAAAATCCCATACTCTGGACACAGACCATCATTGGCCTGACCCGTGCCCAGCCCCCATGCCCAGGCTCCTGAGCCTCTGAGCTCAGAAAAAAAAAACCCTCCTCTCCACCTGTGACCAGGAGCTGGAGCTGGATCTGCATTGAGGTCTCAGGGTGCAGTGCTGGGTTCAAAACACCCAGGGGCACAGGCTGTACCTCAGCTGCCCCAGCCACCTGATCAGGAGCCAGTTTCCTCCTGCTCCTCGGCAGCCTAGCAGGGTAGCCAGGAAATAGATGGCAATGGAGAGACATCCAGTCGTACATTATGGGATGGCAGAGGGGGAGTGGGGTTTCTATAGGCCACAGGGATGGGGAGCAAAAAAGCAGCTGTTACAGCCAACCCATGCCTCAGCATCAGGCCTTGCAAGAAAGGTCCTTTCCTTTCCTGAGTCAGGGAATTAGAGATGGGAAGGTCCAGAGCCACTGTGCATCCATCGTGGGCCAAGACTGGAGCCCATGCCCCTGACAGCCCCTCCGGCCTCTGCAGAGCTTGTCTAACACAGTTGGCTCCATGTTTTCCTGTGACTGTGAGGAGATGCTGAGCAAGATCTGTGACCAAAGAGGACCCCAAAGCCTGCACTGGCCCTGGGTTCCTAGGTGGAGGGAAAAGGCAGCCCTGGATTATGGACTTGGGGCTGATGGTTCCAAGCTGTGTGCCCCTAGGCACCCCACTATCAACTGTCACCTGCTGGCACTGGGTGGAGGACACCCCCAGGAAGCAGAAGGGTGCTGCGATCCCTCTGAACCATGCGAGGCCCTTCCTGGGGACTCAAGAGTCAAAGCCGCCAAGGCATGGGCCATTTGGGGACAGGTGGCCCAGGTTCACCCTTAACTGGCTGTGTATGGTTTTCGCAAGAACTCCGTTTCTCTCAGCCTCCATGGAGGAAGAGGAAGACGTGGAGGAGGGAGAAAGGAGGAGACAGAGGAAGAGGAGGAACAGAAGAAGAGAGAAGGGAGGAACAGAAAGAAGAGGGCCTGTGTTTAGCAAGGGGCTCCAGCTTGGGTAGACGCAATGCGTGCATGGCTTCCCAGCACGGGAGGTGCTAACAGTACTGGCTGCTCAATGCCAATGGGTGACATGAACCTACAGGTGGGGTGTGGGTGAAACTGGTGACACCTGGCACCCTGGCACTCTGATCCCATTGAGAGTGGTATCACTGCCAGCTTCAAATCTTCCCTAACGATCTGAGAACACTAGTGCAAATACTTGCCAAGGAGGGAGCCCATGGGCCAAGAATATAGCTTAGTAGCACAGTGCCTACCTGGCAAGTGCAAGATTGTGAGTTCGATTCCTGATGCCAAAACAAACAAACAAACAAACACAAGGAGGGAGCCTACTGCATGTATGCTACTATCAGATACCAGCTCCTTCACTGCCCCAGCACTGGAGGCCAAGGACCCAATTGGCAGTCCACTCCAGCCCCTTCTGAGTGAGCGGTGTTAACAGCTTCTGAGGTTCTCCAGGAAATCTAGTGCACAGGGCCCAGGCCAGTGCTACATTCTCCCTCAGGGCTCTAGAAGGGCTTAGAAACTACCCCTGCTGTTGACAAGTTTTGGTCTACAACCACCACGTGCTTGCTCGGTCCTGTCTCCAGGTATCTTCATGCTGCCTCCTCCCTGGTCTGAGGCCTTCCTGCTGATCTTTGCCAAAGCCTGACCTTGCCAGTCACCCATCTCTCTCCAACTCTTCTCCTCTGCCTGGGCTCTGATAGCTAAGGCCCTCAAAATGGAGACTAGGACCACAGGGAGTCACCTGCCCTGCTCATCGCAGCCTTGTCCTGGGGTCACAAACCCTGAATAAGGCCCCAGCTGATGGCTCCTGGTCCCAGCCCCAGGGAAACAAAGTGAGCACTGGGCCAAGTCCTGCCTAGAGGCCAGGAGGCTGGGAGGCCAGAGGCCTAGATGTTGGTGGAGCCTGAGGCCACTTGCTGCAGTAAGGTCACTCCTGCACAGTGACTGCCCCTTGGCCTGGACAGCACCCAGAGAAGTCAGCTCACGTAACATGGCCCTGGATGTGGTCATGATCTCTGGGGTCTTAGCCATTTTCCCTTGCTGGGGCCCTGCGGTGGACAGATGTTCCTGTTGCCATTGGAGTCTTCCCTGGAGAACTGGGGAGCCTGCTGGCTGGAGGGGGTCATGGGGAGAAGGGTGGCTGCTTAAACACCTACCTGGCTATCCAGTCCCAGCAGGAGGAGCATAATGAAAAAGAGAATCGACCAGAAGGTGGGCAGCGGCATCATGGTCACTGCCTTCGGGTAGGCGATAAAGGCTAGGCCAGGCCCTGAGGAAAGAGCGGGGCATGAGGAAAGGCCATGAGCTGTGCCGCCTCAGACCCGGCCTCACGGTGCTCAGGCCAAGGTCTGGCTGACTGTGGGCCGGGTCTGCTCTGTGAAGTGGGCATATGGGGCTTGGCAGGGCCCTGTTCAAGTATCTGTGTCCCTTCATGGGCCTGGGCTGGGATATGGGCTCCTTGGCTGGGACCCAGGAGAGGGCACACCCGCCTCCTACCCCAGAGCCACCGGCCTGCAGGACAGAGGCCTGAGAGTCTGCCTACCCAGGCCTGAGCCCTGACGGACTGCAAAGAAGATGCTGCTGTTGCTGTGCTATTGGCTAAAACTGCGGGAGCGGGAGCAAAAGAACATAGCACTATTCCCGCACAGCAGGGCCCCTCTGTGGTACCCAGGAGCAGGGCAGAGCCGGGCCAGAGACAGTAGCTCCAGTCGTGCCCCTGTACCACCTACCCAGGCCTGCTGGGGCTTGGCCTCCCCTTGGGACACAGACCAGAGCCATATTCCTCCAGCTCAAAGAGGCAGCTACCTTGGGCTTGGAAGGCAGAGCCTCTGAGGAGCCCCGGAATTGCCCTGCACATGTAAATGTGGCCTCCTCCAGCCTCTGCAGGGCTCAGGGAAGACTGGGGTTACCAACCCCACACTCTTTAAAGACCAGTCTTGGAGCTGGCTGTAAGGTACAACCAACTGCTAAAAAGCAAAGCGAAAACCACTCCAAGAAGCAAGATACAAAAAGGGCCATAAGCGGGAAGCCTGGAACATGTTCTAAAGCAGATACCAGAAACCACACAAATGGCTTAAGAATGGAGAAAAAACCCACAAAAATAAACTGTTTTTTCAAGAGATCAGAACTAGGAATTACACTGCACAGATGACAGCCCATAATATGTGAGGAGGGCAAGTCCTCTACAACACGAAGTCTGCTCTCCTGAGATCCCCACTGAGACAGTGACACTGAGTGTGGGGTCCTCACCACACTCACGTCACTTGGATAAGCCGGAAGCAAGGATCCAGCTAGGAAAAGCTCTGCCCCTCTCAGGACCCTGGGACACGCTCTGTAATCAGAGCTGATGTTGGCACTGAAAGATGCTGCATGTCCTCCTGGCAAGGACCTATGGTCTCCGAATAGTCAGCTCTAATCCCGGCTGATGCACACCGAGAGAGAGAAACTGAGTCCAGCTGGATATGAGACATGTGAAATGGGGTCACGTCACCCACTCCCCGAACACTAGACGAGTCCCAACTCTCTCATTCTACATTTCAAGTCTGCCTTCCTCGAGCCTCTGGGGAAGGGTCCTTATGTCGCTCTCTGAAGCCTGAGGCCACAGAAGTCCCAAGAAAGGAACACAGCTCGGAGGCCACCACTAGCCGGACTACACCTGGCTGTGTCCCTACACCTGGCTGTGTCCTGTAGCTGCCTGACTGTCCTTATGTGGCTACAGCTCAAGACGGTGCCCTGAGAGCTAATCAGAGACATAACTGCCCTCATCATGTGGCCGCTCAGATGCCAGCATAAGGAGTTAAGGACAAGTGGATGGGAAGAAAACGACACCGGAACTCTGAGCACCCTAGGAAGGACTGCTTCACACAGTGAAGTCATAATGCCCTTGCCAAAAGGGGCTTCCCAGTGTGTGGGGTTTGCTTCCTGGTCACCTACTACAGGAACACCAAGCGCAACAGGCTGTGGTGACTGTGTCCCTGTCACTCTGCCAGGGTGATGTCACAGACCCCAGCCTCTAGGGCCATCCAGAGGGAAACAGTAGGTCTGAGGCTAGGTGAGGGGAGAGATGTGTAAGGCTGGGCACACCTTAAACAAGGGATCACAAACCTGGGTCTAGGACAGAACCATGGATACAGGCCAGGGTGACCCACTATACTGTCATAGCAGAAGACTGGAGGTGGCTGCACCTTTAGAGAGTAGGGAGCTAGGGAGAGATGTATCATGGTGGTGACAGTGTGGACAGGTGAATATCTTACCTAATCCTAACTTGAACCGTAACTTAACTAATCTAACCCTAAACCCAATCCTAGCCTAACTCTAACTCTAATGCTAAGGCCAACTCCATCTGAGATGTGGACATCAGCCCAGGTGCCCATTGTGTGGGCACTCAGATCAGGCCTGGGGACCTGCAATGTGACCTGATCTACCCAGTGTGTCCATTCTGTAGAGGTCCCCAAGTTACAGCCTGGACCCTAGCCCAGCACGTAGCACAGAACTTTGTGGATAATTGGTGCTCAGGCGTGGGCAGGACAGGGTGTTAAGAAGCCAAAGGGCTTTGGAGATTCCACCTGTAGACCCACAGCTAAGACTCCAGCAGCTAAGTAGGGTGTTCTGGACCCAGTCACCCAGGGCACCACGATGGGGTTCAGAGCTCGGAGCCCACCTGTGACTCTAGGGTCCCAGTTATGGAATCCCAGATCTAAAGTTCCAGGAGTCCCAAAGAGGGGCACATGGCCAGTAGGGCCATGCCCAAGTGTGATGGTGCTGAGTCCCCTGCCTCTGCCCTACAGCAGCCTCCCAGGCCCTACCTTCCAGTCCCTGTCCCCTCGTGGAACAAAGGAACGAGGGAAGGGGCTGTGTAGAGGTGACATGTGGCCAGCCAGAGTCAGGACAGTGGTTTCTGTGACCAGGAGGGCACAGAAGCCACTTGCTCTCTCCCAACCTGACACCCATGCTCCTGCTGCCCCTTGGGCCACAAGGGCAAGATAATCCTTGACCAGTGCCTCAGTGTGGGCGGGGCCTTTGACGGGGGCTTCAGAACCAGGCTCCCCCCGACCCCGGGTCTGGCTTCGCGCCGGCAGCGCTGGGCTCGCACACTAGGTGGCAGTGCCCACCACCACTGCCACCGACACCACCATACCTGACTCAGCCACATCAGCAATGTTCACCCCTTGCTCTTGTGCCATGAAGCCCAGGATGGAAAAAATTGCGAAGCCAGACACAAAACTGGTACCACTGTTGAGGCATCCCAGCAGCATACAGTCCCTAAGTCACACACGTCAGGGAGCAAGTTAATCACAGCGCAGGAAGCTGGGCTCCCTACTGTCTGTGCATGGCGCCACGGCTGGCAGCACGGCCTGTGGCATGACACTTGCCTGTACGAGTTGTACTTGTATTTGTTGTAGCTCCCCAGCGACGTCATAGCGCCCAGGCAGATGGCGTAGGAGAAGAAGATCTGTGTCCCCGCATCGATCCACACCTGGGTGGGCAGGGAAATGGGCGCCATCAGGAGCAAGCATGTCCCACCACCAGCAAGGGACCTGGCAACAATACTTGGGTTCCTCACTGCCACAGAGATGGTATTGCTCCCATCAGAATTGCCAGGAATGACCATCTTCACAGGGCCACAGCCGTCACCTCTATAGAGCAGGGACTCCATCCCTGCTCAGAAAGGAAAGACAGACTCGGGGCAAAGCCACAAGTCAAGGCTGCCACTCTGACCACCATGACTGTTATTGGGGACTCTGATTTACGGGCTGTATAGGTGAGATGGTCCAGAAATAGCACACAGCTCCAGCTGGGAAGCTGGCCTCCTCATGTTCCAGACCCTGGTCACATCTCCACCTCTGTCTTGTCCTACCCTTGAGGGGCAGGGGACAGTACAGTGTCCTCCAGGTCCTATGCCTTTCAGATCTTTCCTGCACTCCTGGGGCATAGGCACTGCTGGCAGCAGGGACAGGACCCTGGCCTGGAGGATGTCTCAGAGGCCCTGCAGGAAAGGTGCTCACAGCTGTGGCTTGGAGCCCAGAATCCCCTACCCAGCCTTGCCCAGCCCACCTGGCCACATACCTGTGGGTCCTCCAGGCGGCTGAGGTCAGGGTACAGGTAGAACTTGATGCCCTCACCTGCACCAGGCAGCGTCAGCCCACGAACCAGCAGCACCAGCAGCATGGCAAATGGGAAGGTGGCCGTGAAGTAGACGACCTACAGGGACAGCAGGCAGTGGGCTGGGGCCTCGTCTCTGGGCAGAACCTGACCCCTGCCATGAGAATCTTCAGAGTCTAAGAGAGTCCAAGAATGCTTTCTTTGTTATCTGGGCATCATCAAGCCTAGAAGATGAGGACGAGGCTGGAACTAAGTCCCTGCCTTGGGAGACACCATCAGCGCCGGGCTCAGTGGGTATTGGAAAACACAGCTGTTATCCTACTTCCCATGGTCAAGAGTCAGTAAACTTGGGTTCATATCCCACCTCTGTTCTTTACTTGCTGGGGCATATTGGGTATGTTGCTTAACCTCTCTGGTGCACAGTTCTCCATGTATGAAGTAGGGAGACCTGTAACCTCCACTATGTGGGAGCCTGAGACCACAAGTTCACATCCTGCCCTCTAGCAGACACCAAGTTTCCAAGTAAAACTACAAAGCCTGGGTCTGCAGCTCAGTGGTTGGAGAGGGGCCTAACAGCCATAAGGCCTGGGTTCCATCCCGGGACAGTCAAAAAAGTGCCTTGAAAAGGGGTTCACAATGTCATCCACAGGGCACCCGACACCAAGCAGGTGCTTGGGAAACAGCCCATGCTGACCCCGGCTCAGTCAGAAGTGAGTGTGGGGATATGTGGGAAAGGCGACGCCTGTCACCATCCTCTACACACACAGGCAGAGCAGGTCACCCTCCCCAAAGCTCTGAGTTCTCCAGGTCTAGCTCATAGGTACTCTGCCACCACAGCTGGTACCTGGCCACAGCCAGCATCCTCAGCCATGTGGACCATCATGATGATCCAAGCCCTGCCTTCATCACCCTCCCTAGATCTCAGTTTCCCCAAACACTTTTCTCCCAGGACAGGATCCCAATGGTTCTCCAAGGTAGGGCAGGTAGATGTGGAGGATGAGGGCAGGTCAGGAAGTCACAGAAGAGGATGGGTCTGTCTTTTTCCTTCCTGCAGACGGGCAGGCAGGCGCCTGGTAAAACTGCCACCTCCCCTGTGTGACCACACCCCAGCTGGGAACAACAGCCTCAGACAGCAGCTGTCTGGTCCCTGGGTAGCCACACTTCAAAGCAGTCTCAGCGGCCAGGCAGAGCCTGGAGCTAAGGAGTCTGTGCCCTGCCTGTCCCGACTCAGCCTCCTCTGAAGGCCACATTGTTTTGCAGCCTTGTGCCTCTGAGAGCTGCGCTCCTAGCTTCTCAGGCTCCCCGGGGTCCTGAGGGACTGTGCCAGGAGTCACAGCAGGCTGCAGTGATTTTCCGCTTGCACAGAGAACATCTCTGGCTGCTCTGAGCACTCGACCCAAGCCCTGTAGCCCAGGTGCCCAGAAACAATGGTCACTGCCCACGGTCGGGTGGGGGAGAGGGCTATGTGTATCACTAACTCATTCCATGCAAGGAAACAGACTGGGCGCAGGAAGAGAGCTATAGGCAGCCAAGAGATCTGGAAGAGCAGAGACCCCAGCCCTGATGCCCATACCCTGCTTCTGAGCCCTGGATAACCCAGCAGCTCAGCTAGCCCGCAGCCGTGTTCCCTGAGATACCACACTCTAGAACGGCAGGACATGGGACAGCAGGACATGGGGTGAGGCTAGGCAGGGCCATTGATTACCATGCAAACACCAAGCCTGTCTCCCCACCTGTGATGCGGGGCCCTGGCCACACTCCAAGGGCACTCCACCATACTCATGTGTGGAGCAAGGATGCTGCAGCCAGATACCGCAGGACCTGAATGTTACAAAGGCATCTGCGGATGACAGATGGGGTCATCCCAGAGGCGGCCAGGCTCAAGGAGGTCCCCAGGGTCTGTTTGTCTTGGCTGCGCTCAGCTGCCCAGGCCAGGCCATTGTTCTAGGCCCTTGCCCTGCCCTGGGAGGTGTCACCGGGTGGGGTCCCCACAAGTCACGTCTCCCTGCAGGGAGATGTGCCCTATACTCGCTGCAGTCAGCCTTCTCCCTGACCCAGGCTCTCTCACGGCCCTGGCGGGACAGACCTCAGGGCCTTTGCATAGCCAGGCCCACTGCAGCCTCCTCTAGACACCTGTGCTCTGCTTCGAGCTTCACCTCACTGCCCTACTTCAACTGACACCCATGCTTCCTGCTGTCCTTTACCACATCGTTCCTCCCATGTTCCCCATGTTCCCCTGCTCCTGGCCTGCAGGAGGCTCAAGAGCTCTGGTTGCATAGTACAGCCCCTGTGCTCCTTGGAAACCTCCCATGCACCCTGTCTGTGTAGAAAAACTGAGGCAGGGCAAAGAAGCCAACACATATTCACTAGGTCCTTGGTGATGGGCATCTGAACCCTTACTACATTACAGATGAGGAAACCAGGACTCAGTGGCGAGGGTGTCCAGGAGAAAAGGGGATGGTGCGAGACGCCAGAGCTCTCCAAAGAGCCTGGGACACCATCTCCCATCCCTCCTGCCCTCATCTGGGGAGCAAGTTTCTGAGGCCTAGGTACCAAGACAGCAACAGGGCAGCTGGCCTGAGAATGGCTTGAGCATGGAAGGTGCTGGGGCCCAGGAGGTGTTGTCCCCAAGGCCCTGAGCGCCACTGGGGTGGGGGTGGGGAAGGCCAGGTCACTGTGCTCCGGAGCACAGGGAACCCACCTTCCTGCCTCTCTCATCTCCCAGCCCTTTGATAGGTGCAGCCTTCTGGCTGAGCACGTGAGCCCCAGGCCAAGGCAAAGCCCAGAGATGTGGATCAGAGCCTCTGCACTGAGGGCCATTTGGCCTCTCCTGTACTGAGTGCTAGTCCAGGGAACATGTCACAGCAGTGGACACTCACTCGGGTCCCCAAAGGTGATAGGAGGAAGCAGAGATCCTGTTCAGCCTTGAACTCCTCCCTCCCAAGGCCTTGGCCTCCATCATCAGTGAGGTACGGTGCAGGCGCCCAGCCTATCCAGCCATGCCCTCCACCTATTCCCTCAACTGCCCTCTGGAGGCTCTCCTGACTTGGGGCTGCTTCAGTCTTGGCTACGTGACTGATGGGGGAGCCATCAGGAGAGCATTGGTCCCAAGGACATGGCTCTAGGCTGTGGGGACCTATGAGATCCCTGTGCTAAACTGGGTCTGGTTACAGATAATCTGTACTAACTGGTGATTAGAGGGTTCCCAGAGATTATTTGATCCACCACCCAGTGGTCACTTCTGTGAGTACTAATGTCCCACTGCAGTGTCACAAGCCAGCCGCACCAATTCCCCTAGCTATGGGCAGCTGCTGAATGGAAGCCAGCTTCCCAGCTGCAGGCAAATGACATCGGTGGCAGCTTTGTTTCCCCAAGGACCAATATTAAGGCCAAGGCTGAAATTCTAGCTAGAGGACACCTCACTGATTAGCCTCAATGGACATCCTCGTAGGCCATGCTGAGAGTGCCCCTTGCACAGAGATCCTGGGGACTGGTGCCAGGGCCTCTTCCATGTACGTGGCCACCCTGCCCTCCCTACGGCTCCTAGCTCAGGGCTAGCAGCACCAGTGACCTGCTCACACAGCACATGCTACCTTGCTGGAGCTGCAGCTATACAGGCCACGTTAGTGGCCAGGAATCTCATGAGCCACCTGCTAAGTAAAGGCAACATAAAGGCAGCCATGGATGATGTGGGTGGCCCCAAGAGGGCAGATGCCACATGGCGTCTGGTCCATGGCGTCTCTTGGCATCTCATGACGTCCCATGGTGGGCACCCTGCCTACCTTCCCTGTGGAGTGCACACCCTTCCAGATGCAGAAGAAGCACACCAGCCAGACGAGCAGCAGGCAGAGGGCCAGGTCCCACTTGAGCGCGCCGGGGTGGTCAATCCCAGGGGACAGGCTCAGCACGTTGCGCCTGGGAGCAAGCACAGGGCCAGGTCAGAGCTGCCAGGGAGTTGAGAGGGGGTGTGGTTCATCATGTGGCTAAATGGTAAGCACCTGCCCAGCACAAGATGGCCATGGGTGCCATCCTCAGCACCCAACAGAGAGAGGGGAAAAGGGAAAAGTTACACTTAGATGCAGGATGGGGTGAATTGGGTTCAGCCCAACCTGGCCCCAGGCAGGTCATGAAACCTCAAGCCTCAGTTTCCTCATCGGTAAACGAGGAACTGGCTCTCCATGGGGTCCAGGGCAGCCTTTTTCAGCATCCAATGTGGGCAGGCTGGATCCCCTTAGTTTCCACTCACTCACAGCCCTGGGATCTCCATCTGTTTCCTGTACCACCTCTTTTCTTTTTTTATTTTTTTATTTTTATTTATTTATTTATTTATTTTAAAAAGGACTGGAGAGCGCCCGCGGGTCTCGAACCACCGGACCAATGGGCCCGGGCGGTTGGGAAGCCAGACTGGAAGGAACCGCTGGGCTAAAGCCGGCCCTACCACCTCTTTTCAATGTGTCTCCCATATGTTACCCAGCTCTTCCCAAAACTGCACCCTTTGAGAAGGTGGAGTATGCTGTGGTGTCCTGCAGAGTGTAGGAGAAACCCAGGCCAGGGCCGAAACTGGGGTCTGGGGTAAAGCCAGCACTGAGTTGGCCTCCCCTGCAACCAGCATGGTGCTCAGAGATCCAGGCCCAATCCCTGGAACTGTAAAAATCAAAACCAGGAGGCTCAGAGTAGCCCCAGCACACTATGTCTCCTGTGGGATCCTGGAGACCCCAGGGACTGGGCAGACCCCAGGGACTGTACCTTTACCTTTCAAGGTAAAGGTACAGGGAAGCCACCCGCCCTGCTGAGGGATGTGTGGCAAAGCCATGGTGCTGCCTACTGAGGGTGCTGGCTGAGATTATTTGACCCACCACCCAGAGACAGTGCCTGCTGCCATAAGGCAACAGGATCAACGCTGCCTTGTCAAGCGGGCACCAGTCCGGCTCAGCCCCAGATGCCAGCTCCAGGGTGGCTCCCTGTTTGAAGGCTGCAGCCCCAGCACAGCACAGTAATTCTGCCTGTTTCTCCTAAGTGGGGACTCACAGCTCCTATCTGGGATGCTGCCAAGAGACCCTGCTATCACACAGTCAGGGTTTTGTCCTGACGACGTCCTCTTACCGGGACTGGCTCACATTTGCCCTCCTGTCTTCCGGAAGCTGGGACAGGGCCTCAATGAGATAGCCCCTGCTCCACCACTCTTGACTTGAGCTCTGCCACTCTTGGCCCCATATACATGGGACAAGAGCATCTGCCATCTCAGGTTTCTCACCAGACCCACATTATAGAGATGGGGAAACTGAGGCCTATCTCTGAAGCCAGTGCTGTTATCCTGAATGATGAAGGCTGATTTTAAGCATGCTGAGCCCTGGCATGAAAGGGTCTCCTCTACCCTCTGAAACACCGATCACTGGGGCTCAGGAGAGGGCCACTTCCAAGAGGCCCAGTGCAGGCACAAGGACAGAGCTGGCCAGCAGGAAGAAGAGCCTATCCCACACTCTGCCTCTGCAGCCGTGGCACTGTGGGGTGGCACTGTGGGGACCCATCTGATCCTGGTTTCCTCTGTCCTTGTAGTGACACCCACCAGGCTGCACTAGGACAGGCACAAGGAAGGTGCTGAGTTAATGGAGCAGCTCAATTCCTGCCTGAGCTCAGGTCCCACTGGTCCTGAGCCTGCAGCTGGCCCTTATGATGCCCCTTCTGCCCACTCCCTCCTCACACTGGGCAGTGCAGTGGTGCCCAGGCTGCTATGAGCTCATGCTGGGCAGCTGCCCACCTCACCCACAGCAAACACACAGGCTGGCTTCTCTGTGCTGCTGATGGGAGTCTCAAGGCACCATCCAGGGACATGGAAGGCAGTTCGTCCCGACCAGTAAGTCTAGTCCTAGCCACCCACAAGGCAAGACAGGGTCTCCCCTTGCAGGGCCGAGATCCAGGCCGGAGACCCAATAAGGACAGGGCTTGGGACAAAACATGCAAGCTCTTGGCAGGACCCAGAGGAGTAGGGCGTTACTGGCCTGCCACGCATGGGTCTTGCCTAACAATGAATTTTTAAGAACCATTTTAATGGTTTAGAACTATTATTTTAGATACTGAAAAGGTGTGTCCAGGCTATTCAGATGCCCTGGGAATAGAATAGATGTGTTTCATTGAACACCACCCTTTCTACTGCCCTTCTGGGCAGCCCAAATCCTGCTTGGTGCCCCTGTGGGTCCCTTCATGTCTGACCCAGGGTCGCCAGGTCTCTTGGGGTAGCAGCTGGGACCATGGCCTCTCCCAACTCGCACTCAGCAAACTGTAGCATGCAGTGCCTGAGGGGATGCCCTGCACAGGCAGCTCATGTACCGCCTGGTGCCCAGGACAACTTGGGCAGCCTCTGCACTGGCCGTTTTGCCTCTGTTCCACAGCTCTGTTCCTGTGCATCCCACTTCCTACAGCCAGTGGGTTCAAGTTGTCTTCTTACCATGCAGACACACACCCCAGGGTGGGGTCCCACCTTGGTGAGCTGGAGGCACTGTGCTCCATCCCTACTCCTCACACTGCCCTGGACCTCTTCCTCTTGGCTAGGTACTGTCCTGACTCGGCCTCCTGGCCCTGGTCACTTACATGAGATATGGCCCTCATTCCTGCTCCTTCCTGGCCTTTACATCAACCTTCCTGGTGTCCCAGGCCAGACCTACAGTGTGGACCCTGAGCAGTGCACATCTGGCACACGGAAGGTGCCACCTAACACTGGCTGAGGGATGAAACCAGCTGCAGTTTGGAGAATCTGAGGCTAGGCTGGGATCAGGAAGCCACCCCACATCACCAGAGCCCGTTCTGGACTCCTTCTGTCCTCATCTCCCTGTGAGGGTGCTGCCCTCCTCAACAATAGCTGTGACTCAGCTGGGCAGGGCTCAAGCTGCTGGCTGGATGTCTGCCCCAGCCAGCCGCCACCAGCCACACTGGGACGGAGAAGCATGGAGTGTGGTCGATGCTTTCCTCTTGACCGCAGGCCAACCCAGCTTTGGCCGCATGCCCCAGGACGGCAGCGGCATCATGAAAGGCAATCGTCCGCCTGCCTGGTGTGAGCCTCTCCTCCGCCTCCTCCAGAGAATGAGTGCAGTGGCTGGAGGAGGCCTGGGGACAGCAGACAGCCATAGGGGCATACACCCGGGGTGCAGGGGCCTAAAGGGCTGGTTGGGCAGGCAGGAGGGCCCTGGCTGGGCTGCATGTGGAGTCAGCACTAGGGTCCATGTTTCTCCATTTCAGGGCTCTGCTGGGCTGGGATGTGTGGCCCATGTGATTGGTCCTGAGCTGCAGACTTGGCCACAGGGATAAACGGCTCAAGTGGGTGAGCTGAGGCAGGTGGCACCTCACATCCACAGAAGGCTCCAGCCAGGCTAGGCAGGCAAGATGAGGAGGATGTCTGAGTCACCCTCCAGGCTGGCTGTGTCCAGAGGGGAGTTCCCCATCTGCTCTGTCTGGAGCCCAGGGTCTCAACTCCCCCAGCTCAGACTCTCAGACTCGCAGACCTTGGGTGGTGTGGCTGGAGGATGTGAGGGCCGCTTTGGCAAGAATACAGCAGCTGGGAACTTTCCCTATGCCATGCTTGGCATGGAGACCCCAGGGTGTCATCATCATGGGTGGACACCCACCCATGTGGGGGGCGGGGGTTGGCCATATCCATCCTGGGGGAAGTCCAGAGCCCCAGAGGTCTGGGACCCCTCTCTGTATACTGCAGGTGCTCAATTCCTGGCCACCTGTCCAGTTTCTCCAAGGAGCATGCAAAGCACATACTTGATTCTTTGGAGCATCTGGCAACCCCTCAGCCCAGGATGATGCTCAGCTTCCCCAGACTGTCATGGCTCCCCATCCTTGCTCCCACTCCTGTCATCTCTCTTCTGACCTATCTTCTGCTGTTCCCACCCATGCCTCTGCATGAACATCTCTTCTCTCTGAGTTGTCTTTTCTTTTTGCTTGGTAAGCTCCTGCTCATCCCTCAAAGCCCAGATCCCATAACACCTCCCTTTTCAGATGGGGAAAGGAGGCTTGAGAATGGTAAGGATTTGGTGCTCAAGGCTGTACAGCTGACTGCAGACATAGAACCAAGAAGAATGGGACTCTGTGAGCATTTACTCCATGAAAACTATCCCTGCTTCTCTGGACAGGGCAAAATCACAGTATGAGAACAGCCATGAGAGGGCCCTCAGGGAAACAGCAGGACTCGGAACCAGGACAGAGGGTAGAGCTAAGTACAGAGGCAGAAGCTGAGGGTCCCTTGGAGAGGTCCTGAGGTGGTCATGCAGCAGGGACACGGAGGCAGCAGAGAAACCAAGGCAGGCAAGAGTGGACCCTGGCTGCAGCATGATGCTCAAGGCCCAACAGACACAAGTGGGCTGTTCTGTCCCACCCCTCAGCACCTGAGGGGTCCCTGACCTCAGCCACACAGCCTGCCGTGCCCCTGTACCTGCCCACCACACACAATATACCCACACAGCCACCATGCACCTGTGCTGGCCTGCTGTGGGCCTGCATGGCTGCTAGCTGTGCTGTAGTCCATGGCAGGTGCCACATTGCTCAACTCCCCTGAACTGGGGCTGTCCTGCATTTGAACACTCAGAGTCAGCACAGATTAAAACAGATCCTGTCCTGGACCTGCCCATCTATTGCTCCCAAGATGGCTGTAAAAGGCCAGGCTAGAGCTGAGACCTCAAGTCAGTTGCTCTTGGCACCCAGACATTGCCACTCATCCTGAAAGAACTACTCCAAGGGCCCAAAGTTGCCTGCAGGCTCCCACAGGAGCCCAGGCTTTACTACCCACAAACAGAATCATGAGCTAAACAGCATCTGTCTACAGTTAGCAGATTTGGAGATGGCTGTTACACAGCAAGAACTGACTGAGACAAGCTGAACATGGTAGTACATGCCTGTAACCCCAACACTTAGAGCCTAAGACAGGAGGATCTTGAGTTCAAGGCCTGCCTGGCCAATTTAGTGCGACTCTTTCTCAAAACAAAGAAAGCTCACAGGTACTATATAGCTACTTTCCTATCTTTTCATCCGAGTGACTCCTTCACTCCCTTCATATGTTTTTCTCGGATAACAAAAAATGCATTTTCCGAGACAACTTTAGTACATATCCCCCTGTGTGTGGGACTGCAATCATTGCAAGGACCCAGGGTACAGGAACAACTCATGCCCCTTGGGGGGACACTTGAGGAAACTGAAGGCTGCACAAGGCCAAACAGCCAGGCAGTGGCAGAGCTGGTCTCTGCCCCAGGCTTGAGCCCCACCTGCCCCATGAGGACCCAGCTTACTCCCAGAACTCGATGACGGGCGATGTGAAGTTGGTGTAGTTCAGTGGGACTGACAGGCTCCTGTTTTTGCGCATCGTGTCCTCCAGGCACTGTGGCGTGTTCCAACTGTGGTTGCAGTGTGCCCAGGGCAGCTCCTGCTGGAAGGACTGGAACAGGTAGTAGGTGGCCCAGGCTAGGATGACTATGTAGTACACATTCAGCAGTGATACGATCACAATGGATGCGTAGCCAATGCCTGTGGGCCAGATAGATACATGTCAGCTGGGGCTGCAGGATGACACCCTAGGCCTGCGACCAGAGGGGCCTTTGATAGTCGCCAGCAGGTTTCTGTGGGACGAATGGTGGACTGGGTGCAGGGACACATAAAGGATGATCAAGGAATGGGACGGTCAGTCAGCCAGTCTGCAACTGGAAAGATAGACACTCTGACAGATGGACAGATATGTGGACAGATACAGAGCAGATGTATAAATGCACAACAGGGGAGGACAGGTGAATGACTGGGTGGATAGGGGACAGACGGAGGGACTGGTAAACAAGTGAATGCACAGTCAGGTGGCTGGTGGAGGAGCAGATGGATAAATGTAAGTAGGTGGGTGAATGAATGGGGAGATCAATGCACAGATTGGTAGGTGGGTGGACAGAATGGTAGACAGGTGAACACCTGAACAGATGGGTAGGCAGGTGGATGGACAGATGACCATATGTGAGGATGGCTAGACAGGTGGATAAATGGGTGGGCAGATGGGTGGACAGGCAAATGCATGCTGGATGGATGGATATGCACTTTGTTGGCTGGAGTGTGTGTGGTTGGTCTGGGTGCCGGGAGGGTGGATGAACGGTGGATGAATGAGCAGATGGGAAGGTGAGTAGAAGAGGGGCAGGCAGTGTAATGACTAGTTTGCTGGAGAGTGAAACGGGTGTGTGGATGGACGGGCGGGTGGCGGATAGGCAGATGGATGGGTAGACAGGTGGGTGGAAGGAGGGAGGGTGGGGGAAAGGGTGGACGGATGGATATGCAGTGAGTGGATGGGTGGGTGGGTGGACGAATGGACACATGAAAAGACTCACACATATTCCTACTCTTTCCAATTAAGTCCTAATAGTGACTATTTGAGTGCATATTTAGTACCAAGCACAGGACTCTATAACCACAAGTGTGATGTTTACTAAGTTCACTCAGCACGTAAGACACAGTCATTCCATTTTATCTGCACAGCAGCTCTAACAAGTAATGTGTGCTTAATGGATGAGGAAACTGAGGTGCAGAGTGACATACCAAGGCCACCTGACTATGGAGTGGAGAACATGGGATTTGACCCCAGGCAGAATCCACCTGGCTTGAGGTCCCAGGGAGCAGGCACTGTCCTGAGCCAGGCACTGCCCACCCCACCCTATCCTCACCATTCCATCCTATGTCACCCCATGTCAGCTCCGCAGTGGGTGCCTTGGCTCATCCATCCCTATGCGTGCGAGCTCACCAGAGAAGAGAGGGCAGATCTTCTCCCAGCAGGTGATGCCACCCTCCGAGGTGTACTGGCCAATGATGACCTCCAGAAAGAAGACGGGCAGGCCGCTCCCAAACAGAAAAATGAAGTAGGGGATGAGGAATGCACCTAGGGGTATGAGGAGCAAGGTGAAGGATGAGGAGTGTGTGGCCCCACCCCATCACCTCCTCCTGGGGCCTCCAGGCTGTGCCCACGCCCCTCCAGCTGTGCTGCCTCCTCCAGCAAGAGTATCTCAGGGGTCACCACCCAGCAGGGTGGGCCCTCTCTAGGCCCCCTACCTGCACCTACTAATGTGCTCAGATGGTCCTCAAACTCCGGGAAACCATGGGCGCCAGGCCTGGAGTGTGTGCTCTGCATCAGGGAGCCCTTCTGCCCTCTCAGGGCAGTACTCTAGGGCCAGAACCTCTAGGTCATCTCTATAGCCTGGAAGGACACTGCCCAGAGCCTCCTCGGGCAAAGCACAAAAAGCCCAAACCCTCCACACCCTAGCAGACAGAGACCTACAACTTAATGCATCTCAGCCGTGCATCTTCTGCCTCGATACCTCTGCATTATAGCAACTGATGCTGGCTTCTTATTTATGGGATGCAAAAAAGCTAACACTTTGCATGGCATTTGGTGACATCAGAAAAGCCAAGTCAGAGGGTGCAGCAGGTTGATGGGAGGGAAATGGACCCCTGCTCACCTCCACCATTCTTGTAGCAGAGGTATGGGAAACGCCAGACATTGCCCAAGCCCACGAAGCCGCCTGCCACAGACAGCACAAAGTCAATCTTGCTGGCCCACTTCTCTCGCTGGGGCGGCTTGCCCTCTGCCTCATCCTCAGGTCGTGTGCCTGGGCTCTTGCCCGGCGATGGCTTCAAGATGTCCTTGTGGAAGTCCTTCAGGCATAACAGCTTCTCCTTGGTAGCCATAGCTGTGTCTCCTGCAGGGACAGGGACAGCAGAGCCATAATGGGACTGAGAAGCTGAGCATCCCCTCTCCCAGCCTACACCACATTGGTCACCCCAAACAGCAAGCCACAGCCCACACTCCAAAGTAGCTATCACGGCCCACCAAATCCAGCAGCCCGGCACTCTGGCAGGCTGAGGCAGGAAGAACTCCAATGCAAGCCCAGCCTGGGCAACTTAGCAAGAAACTGTCTCAGAAACAACAAAACAACTGTAAAAAAAACAGCTGGAGATGTAGCTCAGTACTACCCCTAGTATGAGAAAAGAAAAGAAAGGGGAAGGGAAGGGAAGGGAAGGGAAGGGAAGGGAAGGGAAGGGAAGGGAAGGGAAGGGAAGGGAAGGGAAAAGAATAGAAAAGAGGACAACACTGAAATCTCAGATTTCAGAAAAAAGTCAAAATGTCAAGGGTCTCTGGAACAAAGATAGGTCAAGACTTCAGGGCCCCCACTCCTCACAGCGACCACAGTCACCGCCACACACTCTTCAGGCAGCCCCAACCACGAACACATTGCTTGGGCACTTCTTGCTCTGGGCAACATCAACTCCTGGGCCACAGCAGAGGCCATGGGAAGAAGGACCTGTCCCACACCAAGCTCCAGGAGCCTAGTGCTGTGCTGGGTGTGGAAGGGCAGCCAGCAGGTACTTCTGGACAGGTGGACCCCAAGTGGACCCTGCCCCCGGCCCCTCAGCTGTACACACATGCAGTGAGTCACCAGCCTCAGGGCCTTGGACCCTGGGGTGGACAGGGTCAGGAACATGCAGCCAGGTGGGTGCTGGGACCCAAGTGTGGACAGGGATGGAGACACGCGGCCAAGCGTGTGCCGGAACCTGTGGATGGACAGAGACATGTAGCCAGGTCCCAGGGGCTGCGCCAAGGGGCAGCAGCACAAAAGCACAACGCCGCGTTTCCCCCACGCCTCCTTCCTCTCCCTGCTCGGGTGGGGACCCCAATTGTTTCGTTGTCTGGCGGGGAGCAGACAGAGGCTTCCTGGAGCCCAGAGCCCTTCCTCTGCCTGGCGGGGCATCCGCACGCCTTTCTCTCCTGGCTCCCGCGGGGCCACAAGGGCTCCACAGTCCACGCCACTGCAAAAATAGCCCAGCTACAGCATTGTTTCGGAGAGAATGTGCACCCCCTGATGCTTATCAGGCGGGCAGCATTGTGGCAGCAGGGTTGGCGCATAATTGGAGGATGTGGGACGCGTGCAGGAACAGCCCAAGGTGGGCCAGGCCCACCCTTCTGGATGCTGCCTGGACCTTGAGGCTGCGGGGAGGTCCCAAGGTCAGCCTGGTCTCTTAGCACTGCCTATGCCCTGGGGAGGGGTCAGGGGGCTGGGCTGCCGATCACATAGGCAGAGGAACTTGAAAGGCCCAGCTGGTTTCTGGACGGGCGATGGCCCTCGAGGGTCCTGCTCTGCCCACTCACCACATGGGCACTCAGAGAACCCTCAGGAAACATGGATTAGTTACCTTTGGAGCTCCCCAATACCTCAGTCCAACACACCCTGGTCTTCTATAGACAAGGACATTCCCCCCACACTGGACATGGCAATATATACCTATAATTCCAGCACTCAGGAGGCTGAGGCAGGAGGACCTCTGAGTTCAAGGCAAGCCTGGATTACATAGCAAGACCTTGTCTCAAAACAAAGAAATAACATATGAACCCCACTCATGTCCTGCTTGCACCTGGATGGATGATTCCCTTGCTCCCTAGGAACACGGGAGGCCCTGCAGGGTTTACAGCTGCTGTCTAGAGCACAGGACCCAGGGCCATCCCTATCCCTGAAAGGTCACAGGGCTTCACCAAGCCTCAGACTCTCATAGTCACCTGCCTTCCTCAGGTGCCTTCCAAACCCCCACCACCACCTGGGAAGACCTGGGATCTGTGGGTCTCTCACACATACCCTGCCTCATCACCATGGCAATCTGGCCACCCTCCCACACACCCACACAGCCACTTAAGGCAACGGGGAACACTATATGGCACCCAAGCCCTCTCTGTCCCTGGCGCTGGCCCTGTCCCAGATACCTAGGCCTCTTCCTAGCTGCTGACCTTAGGCACAGGGCTCAGTCACTCTGGTCCCCAACCACTGGCTGCATAGTGGTGATGATGAGGGTCACAAAACGGGTCCGGGGGCTGCCTGCATAGTGAGTGGCACTGCTGTCCCTGCTGTCTTCGGGACCATAATTACTATGGTCCTGCTGAGGGTGAGACCATAGGCAGAGGCCTTGCGACACCTCTACATCTCCTGATGCCATCTCTGCAGCTGCCCTGCCAGGCCAGTGGCCTCCACTAGGGGCGCCAGAGTGACCCAGAGAATCACACAGGGTCCCTCGGCTCCTGGGGCTGCGTCAGGCCATCCCTCTAGACATGACCTGTTTTTCTTGGCACTGGGCCCAGGGTTATTTTGTAGCGGCTGACAGTTATAATTCCCCATTTTAAGAGCTTCCTCTTCAGTCACTACAGCTCCAGCGATTAGGGGGGACTCTGGCGCAGAGGCCCTGGCAGAGCCTGTCTTATTGCCCAGCTGGAAACGCTCACTCCTCTGCTCCTAGCTGGCAGCCAGATCCAGCCATGCCTGAAGGCTGGCCTGTGTGCAGGTCACCTGGCCAAGTCTTGGCACAAATATGGCCCCATTCAACCCACAGCAGTGAGACTGTGGGCTTACTGTAGGGCATTTCTTTGCTCCCCACTGGTTTTAAAGTACCACATTCTTGGACAGGGATGGTGGTACAGGCACTTGAGAAGCTGAGGCAGGAAGATTACAAGTTTGAGGCCAGCCTGAGCTACACAGCAAGATCTAAACCAGCAGGTACTACAGAGTAAGACTTGACTTTAAAGACAAAATGAAACAAAACAAAAAAAGTAGCAGGCTTTTGAATACAGTACTCTGGGGTACATTAATTATAAATTGGTTCCTATTTGCCCAGCAAACCTTCAGATAGGGAAAGAAACTTTTTTCCAGTGCTGAGATCAAAGCCAGGGCTATGTCCAAGATCCTGGAGGAGAAGGTATAGCTTGGGACCTATGACACCTGCCTCCCTCAGTGCCCCAGAAGTAAAAGCAGGATGCTGGGGAACCTAAGACTCCACTGCTCAGACAGCCTGTTTGCCCCTGGCACCTGTACCCCACTGCAAAGGCAAGAATTCAAACTCGCATTGACCCTGCAGTTCACTGAGGACTCTGGTGGACGGGCTGGGTACACATGTCCTACCGCCCCAGCACCCAACCATTCCACTGCCTGAGGGCTGAGCAAGCGATGACGCCTCTATGCCTCAGTTCCCTGACTGGTGAAATCTAGAGATGGAAGCCAGACCCACCTGTTGGGATCAGCTCAGGAAGCACATGGGGACAGTGGCCGTGTACCTGGATCTTACAGCGTGTGTGGCAGGCACTGTGCCAGGATGAAGTAACAGCTCGGAGCCAGAACCACCCTGGGCTCCACACAAGGAGCCAGCTCAGGGGACCCTGAGTGTCCCGACTGCAGTTCATGACAAGGTCCTGCACACTGGAAACATGGGGCCATGTTTCCAGATGGCCTCGCCTTACAGGCAAGGGCCGAGTGCAGGAGAGACTCACATATATCACTCAGTCAGTGCCCTCCCACTCTGAACACACAGCACAAACACGACCCTTTGCAGCCGACCTTCCTCAGGTGCTGCCCATCTTCCTTCTGCAAGGAGGCCTGAGATGATAGCACTCACTAAGGTCACACTGCCAGTCAAACCCCCAAGCGGGTAATGGTGCCCAGGTCTGTCCTAGCCCCCAGCACCCTACTTCTTGACTGCTCAAGGTGCCACCTGCACCTCTAAAGAGCCAGCTACACAGCCAGCCAGCAGGCACACAGGGGACCAGGCTGGGGGGAGCAGGTCAGGCACAGGGACACCATGGGACAGGTAGGAGACACAGGATGGGTGGTGCTATGCACAGGGTGTGCCGGGGGATCAGAGGTTCTTCTGGGTCCCCGAGAGGGCAGGCTCATCGATGATGTCCAACCTGCACACTCCCAGATACCATCTTGGCCTCCTAAGTATTCAAACAGGTACTGCTAGATAAGCCCGGTGAGCTCAGTGCTAAGCACCAAGCCTAGCACAGAAGAGCCTGGGCTCCAGCCAACTGCAGCTCAGAAAAGAAAGAAAGAAGGGAAGAAGGAAAGAAAAGAAGGAAGGAAGGAAGGAAGGAAGGAAGGAAGGAAGAAAGAAAGAAAGAAAGAAAGAAAGAAAGAAAGAAAGAAGAAAAAAATCAAAGCTCTTTTTTTTCTGTCATAAAGTAGACCTTCAAAAGATTTAATCATTTAGTTGGATCACATAGTCTGTATTCTTTAGTCATCTGTTCTGAGAAAAGGCTAACTCAAGTGTGACAGTCCAGGGCCTCCTGGGGCCTGGCGGGCAAAGGCCAGGTGCCCAGGACAGGGTTGGGGAGCACAGACAAGGCAGCTCAAAGTCACTCCGGCTGGGGTCCACCTGGGATCAGGTCCTGCACACATACATTCCTGAGAACCTTGGGCACAGGCACACACACACACACACACACACACACACACACACACACACACACACACTTGTAATGTCCTAAGCACCATGGGGGTTAGGTCACAAAGAGGGGCACTTTGAGCATGCCAGACTATGGCCAGCCCCCAGGAGGGAACCATGAGGTTGCTAGGAAGCTGGGCATAGTCCTGGCTGAAACAAAGCTGAAAACAATGGGGGTCATTCTGGTCCTCACAAAAATGAAGCCCATTGGGAGTGCCTTTGGGGACCATGTCAGGGACAGAGGACAGGCTGCCTCCACCTGGGCAAAGTGTCCCTTCTGCTGGCCTGACTGCTCCAGAGCACAGTCCATCTCCCAAAGACCCTACCACTGCCCACTCAGCCCCAGGCCATGGTTCTCCCTGTGCCTGCCACCACTTGTGGGTAAGGGCACACAGCAGGAAGTGGGAAGGGCGGCCTCATTGTCCAGTGAGCTCAGGTCCCA